TCCAGCCAACCATAAATCCCACCCATAAACAATAGGGTCCCGATCAATCCCGCGGCAAGAACCAATTCCGCCAACGCATGAGGTGTTCGGGTCGTCTTGACGTCATCTTGACATCATCTCCAGGTTATATTAAGACCATGGTGGTATACTCTGGGAATGCCTCGGGCACCTCGGGGTCGCTCTGGGGCCACCGCGCCCGGTGCCCAGGGCATCGCTCACATCTTGGGCCATCTAGGCTTCGCCCGAATGCGATTCCGACGCTGCGTCTGGATCCTGCAGGGGCCACGTGGTCTTCTTGGGGTCGCCCCGAGGTCATCTTCGTGCCCGTCTGCGGCCGTCGTGGGACCGTCTTGGGGCCATAGGGGCCGCCCAATCATCCTGTCTGGGTCGTCTGGAGGTCTTCCGCGTTTCCAAAGACACTTTCGTTTCACCTAAGCCTGGTCGCGCCTGCCGCACTCCGTGCAATCCCAGCTCAAGGTTGACCTCTGAGTTACAACTGAAATGTCCCTGCTGTCGCTTTGCTGTCGCCTTGCTGTCGCCGTGCTGTCGCCTTGCGGATGAAAAACCACGCTGATCGCGCCTGCCGCGCTCTGAATCATGTCGGCTCAAGGTTGACCTCCGAAATGCAACTGGACTGTCCCTGCCGTCGCTTCTTCGCCTTGCTGTCGCCTTGCGAATGAAAAGCTCCGAAAATTCCTTGAATTATCTGAGTTGGGCCCGATGGCAACGTTTGCTCGACTACGGTTAACTCCTCTTGGCAACGGCCGCGACGGGGTTGACGGGCATAATGAGTTGAACTCCCGTCCCCTCCCCCAGTAGCCTAGCAAGATAACCCTCTTGCGTGGTCTCGGCGGGATCTTTGGCGAGTAGCTCCCATTTTGAATTATACTGTTTTTGTCACGCCAACAATAAATCCAACCCATACACAATAGGGTCAGAATTAATCCCGCGGCGGGACCCAATCCCGCCAATGCATGAGGTGTTCGGGTCTTCTTGAGGTCATCTTGACATCATCTCCAGGTTATCTTAAGATCATGGTAGTGTACTCTGGGGATGCCCTGGCCATCTCGCGGTCGCTCTGGGGCCACCGCGCCTGGTGTCCAGGGCATCGCTCACATATTGGGCTATCTTGGCTTCGCCCCTAGGCGATTTCGACGCTGCGTCTGGACCCTGCAGGGGCCACGGGGTCTTGTTGGGGTCGCCTCGAGGTCATCTTCGTGCCCGTCTGAGGCCGTCGTGGGACCATCTTGGGGCCATGGGGCCGCCCAATCATCCTGTCTGGGTCGTCTGGAGGTCTTCGGTGCTTCCAGGGAACCTTTCGTCACGCCTAATCCTGATCGCGCATGCCGCACTCCGTAGGATTTCGGCTCAAGGTTGACCTCTGAGATGGAGCTGAACTGTTCCTGCTGTCGCTTTGCTGTCGTTTTGCTGTCGCCTTGCTGTCGCCTTGCTAATGAAAAGCTACGCTGGTCGCGCCTGCCGCGCTCCGTATCATTTCGGCTCAAGGTTGACCTCTGAGATGCAACTGAACTGTCCCTGCCGTCGCCATGCGAGTGAAAAACTACGCATCGCCGCTCCCACAGTTCCTTGAATCATCTGAGTTGGGCCCGATGGCAGCGTGTGCTCGACTACGTCGCACCCCTCTTGGCAACGGCCCCGACGGGGTTGAGGGGCAGGATGCGTGGAATCCCCGTCCCCCCCTAGATGCCTAGCAAGATCGCCCTCTTGCGTGGTCTCAGCGGGATGCTTAGCGAGTTGTTCCCCTTTTTTATGATTTATTTTAATCCAGCCAACCATACATCCCATCCATAATCAATAGGGCCCGGATAAACCCCAATGCATGAGGTGTTCGGGTCTTCTTGAGGTCATCCTGACATCATCTCCAGATTATCTTAATATCATGGTGGTGTACTCTGGGGATGCCCTGGCCACCTCGGGGTCGCTCTGGGGCCACCGCGCCCGGTGTCGAGGGCATCGCTCACATCTTAGGCCATCTTGGCTTCGCCCCCGGCCGATTTCGACGCTGCGTCTGGATCCTGCAGGGGCAACGGGGTCTTCTGGGGGTCGACCCGAAGACATATCCGTGCCCGTCTGAGGCCGTCGTGGAACCATCTTGGGGCCATGGGGCCGCCCAATCATCCTGTCTGGGTCGTCTGGAGGTCTTCCGTGTTTCCAGGGAACCTTTCGTTACGCCTAAGTAGGGGAGAGGGGCTGGGAGGAGTGGACGCACAGCGCGGCTGCTTGAAAAAGAGTACCCAACTCAATACAGGATGATTGGGAATGAAAGCATGACTGCCCACATTGGACATGACTTGCCAACTCTCTGTGAGCCACGTCTACATTGTAGAGCGGTGGGGGGTGGGGAAGGGGCATGCCGTTCCTAGACAAAAACCATGCCCCGATGTGTGGCCGCCGCCATCCCCGCCGCTACCTCCAAAACAGACCTTGAGGTTTGGTGCGAGGTCGGAAATCACGCAACAACATCTTGCCCTTCGATGTGCGAGCCCATCCAGCCGACATCGCCAGAGGGCTGCCGAAGGCGACGTCAGATTATATGCTCGCTCTCTGGGGGTCTTCCTGGAGCCATGCTCGCTCTGCTCGTGCGTCGATGCTGCATTGAGCGCCTGTGAAGTCGAGCCGAACTTGAACTGAACTACTGAGATCGGCGCGGGGTTTGCCGCGGGGTTGGATACTCTGATCGCGGGTTCCCCCCCAGATGGGATGGGCCCCAGGGTTTCACAGGCTCCCCCCCCAGATGGGATGGGGGGAACGCCGACGCCGACGCCGACGCCGACGCCGACGCCGACACCGACGCCGACGCCGACGCGACCGACTCCGACGGACGACAACGACGATGAAGACGACGACGACGACGACAACGACAGACGACGACGACGACGACGACGACGACGACGACGACGACGACGACGACGACGACGACGACGACGACGACGACGGCGGCGGCGGCGGCGGCGGCGGCGGCGATGACGAAGGGTGCTGAGGTAAACGGGTCCTGATTTGGTTCGCCGTTTTTTGAGCCCTCGGGTCCTCCAAGGGTCCCAGAACAGTTAGAAAAAAACTCAGGATGACGAGCTCGTCGTGGGGAAAGGCCTGGGGTCCACGAACCGTTCTCCATTCTCCGAAGAGAGAACGCTCGCTGTGAAATTAGCCTGGCGAAGGACCCAACCAGATGCAACTGTGGGCACCGTCCTTGTATGCACGGCATTCGGAGGAGCTCACAAAAAATGGTGCGGTGGGCGCATGCGAACGCAGTCACTGTGGCCGTCGGTGGAGCTTCCTGTGGGACCACGAAAACTGTGAAGCGCTTGCCAAAAGCGGTGCGGTGGGCGCATGCGGCCGCAGCCAATGGGCCGTCGGTGGAGCAGCTCCCTATGGGGCCACGAAACCTGCGAGGGGTCTACCAAAATCAGTGGACGCATGCGAACCCAGCCACTGAGGCCGTCTGTGTGTGCTCTATTGGGCTACGACGCATGCGAGGGGTGTGCAAAAATGGGCTTGGTGCGTGTATGCGAACGCAGCCTCTGGGGCCGTCGGTGGAGCTCCCCATGGGGCCATGAAGCGTGTGAGGGACGTGCCCCGAAATGAGTGCGGTGGGCACATGCGACCGCAGCCACTGGGGCCGTTGGTGGAGCTCCCGATGGGGCCACGAAACGAGTGAGAGGTGTGCAAAAGTGGGTACGGTGGGCGCGTGCGAACGCAGCCACTGGGGCCGTCGGTGGAGCTCCCTATGGGGCCACGAAGCGTGTGAGAGGTGTGCCGAAATGGGTGCGGTGCGCGCATGCGAACGCAACCACTGGGACTGCCGGTAGAGTTCCCTATGGGGCCACGAAGCGTGTGAGAGGTGTGCCAGAATGAGTGCAGTGGGCGCATGCGAACGCAGCCACTGGGGACGTCGGTGGAGCTCCCGATGGGGCCACGAAGCGTGTGACGGATGTGCAAAAATGGGTGCGGTGCGCGCATGCGAACGCAGCCACTGGGGCCGTCGGTGGAGCTCCCCGTGGGGCCATGAAACGTGTGAGGGATGTGCCAAAATGTGTGCTGTCACTTCGGTGGAGCTCGCTACGGGGCCACGATGCTTGTGAGCGGTGTGCCGAAATGGGTGCGACGGCGCATGCGAACGCAGCCACTGGGGCCGTCGGTGGAGCACCCTATGGCCCACAGAACGTGAGGGGTGCGCCAACTAACAAAAATGGGCGCATGCGAACGCAGCCCCTGGGGCCGTCGGTGGAGCTCACTATGTGGCCACGAAGCGCGTGAGGGCTGCGCCAACATGGGTGCGGTGAACGCGTGCGAACGCAGCCACTGTGGCCGTCGGTGGAGCTCCATATGGGATCCAGAAAGGTGTGAAGGGTGTGCCAAAATAAGCACGGGGGGCGCATACGAACGCAGCCCCTGGGGCCGTCGGTGGGCTCAACATGGGGCCATGAAACGACGTGTGAGGGGTGTGCAACAATGGGCGCTGGAACCGTCGGTGGAGCTCCATATGATATGGGGCCACGGAACGTGCGAGGGGCGTGCCAGAACAGGTGCGGTGGGCGCATGCGAACGCTTGCATTTGGGCCGTCGGTGAAGCCCCCATATGGGGCCACGAGACGCCTGAGGGGTGTGCCGAAATAGAAACATGCGGAGGGCAGAGGCAAGGAGGGGAGGAGGGAGGAGAGCGAGGAGTACAGAGTGACGCGGGTGGGAAGAATTGGAACGCCCAGATCTCGGGGGGGGGAGGGGCCCGCCCACGCTCACTGCGGAACACAAGATGTGGGAGCACAGCTCCCCCAGTTGTGGCCGACCTGGGACGCGCTGTTGCATGGGTTGGCGGCGCGCACAAGGGGGTAGGGGGAGGGAGGAAGGCTTCTTGGAAGGAGGCTGCGTCTTAGAAGAAGCCGGCCCTGCATTTATAGGAGTGCTTCTAAAAAGCCTTCTCCCCTCCCCCATTACCCCCCTCTGCGCGTTGTTGAGCATGGGGCTACGCCGCGCGACTGTCAGCCACCCGGTGGCTGCATGCCATGGGCGGCTCTCACCGGCGCTGGCGCCGCTGGCGAGCCCGGCGGAGCCGAACCCACCAGCGGCACGACCTGCCGAAGGAGCACCTCCCTCACCATTAGCCGCACCTTTCGGAGGCAACTCGTGCAAGGTCTTCGCAAGAAGGATTAAGGGATATCAAGCCCGATTGGGAAAGCCATCAAGGCGGATTAGCCCAGATTGAACTCTGGATTCTGCCATATTGGACGGGATTACTCTACCTCTCGACCAAGGATATAACTATACACCAGCGCCGATGCTGAGTTGAACCTCCCAAGAATTGCACTCTGTCGCACCTCACGCGAATTCACAACAGTCAGCTCGCAGAGGAGGGGGACCAGCTCGTGAGCGTACGCCGCGAACTGCCCATGCTGCAGGTCCCTCAGGCCGGTCAGCACCACCTCGGATATGATGGGCACCAGGCCCTGGACCTCGCGCTCCGTCTCCACCGCGGCCGCCTCGTCGGCGGCGTCGGCGGACAACTCGCTCTGGGAGTGCAGGCGGGCCTCCTTGGCGGCGTAGTTCTGCAGCACCGTACCGCAGAGGGACATGAGTCGCTCCACGGCCTTCGGGAACTGCTCGCTCTGCTGCATCCTCTCGTCACACAACACCTGGAAGAGGACCTTCAGGGAGCAGCTCAGGGCCTCCCGCTCCTGCTTCAGCAGCCCAGGCAGCTGCTTCATCTCACGCATGAAGCCCAGCCGCTTGAGCACCTGGCGTAGCTCGATCTGCTGGTTGAACTCTTGCGCGAACTCGAACGACCGCTGAAGGGCGTCCAGCAGCGTCATCAGTCCGTTCGGAGGAATGAACTCATAGTGCTGCGCCAATGTGTCCTGCAGCATGTCTATCAGGAGCAGCTGCACGACGCACTGTATCACGACGTCCTCCTTTCGAAAAGGCAGATGGCCTCCTGCTTCAGACTCCGCGCGCATGATGTCGTCCACCTCCATCAGCCACACCGGCATGCTGTCGCTGAAGAGCCTCAGGACGCTGTCCATGACCTTCTGCCAGCAGTCCGGCTGGAGGGCCTGCCCTGTGTGCAACAGCAGCTGCTTGAAACCCTCCATGCCGATACGGGCGATGGCCTAGGGGAACAACCATTTAGTCGTAGTCTTAGTCGCAGTAGTCGTGTAGTAGTAGTAGTAGTAGTAGTAGTAGTAGTAGTAGTAGTAGTAGTAGTAGTAGTAGTAGCAGTAGAAGTAGAAGTAGTAGTAGTAGTCGTAGTATTGAAAGTAGTAGTAGTAGTAGTAGTAGTAGTAGTAGTAGTAGTAGTAGTAGTAGTAGCAGTAGCAGTAGAAGTAGTGGTAGCAGTCGTAGTAGTAGTAGTAGTAGTAGTAGTAGTAGTAGTAGTAGTAGTAGTAGTAGTAGTAGTAGTAGTAGTAGTAGTAGTAGTAGTAGTAGTAGTAGTAGTAGTAGTAGTAGTAGTAGTAGTAGTAGTAGTAGTAGTAGTAGTAGTCGTAGTAGTAGTAGTAGTAGTAGTAGTAGTAGTAGTAGTCGTAGTAGTACTAGTAGTAGTAGTCGTAAAAGTAGCAGGACTAGAAGTAATTGTAGTAGTAGTATTAGTGGTAGCAGCAAAAATAGTAGTAGTAGTCGTAGTCGTAGTAGTAGTAGTAGAAGTAGTAGTCGTAGTTGTAGTAGTAGGAGTAGTAGTAGTCGTAGTAGTAGTCCTTGTAGTAGTAGTAGTGATAGTAGTAGCAGCAGTAATAATAGTAGTAGTCGTAGTAGTAGTAGTAGTAGCAGTAGAAGTAGTAGTAGTAGTAGCAGTAGTAGTAGTAGTAGTAGTCGTAGTAGTAGTAGTAGTAGTAGTCGTAGGAGTAGTAGTAGTAGTAGCCGTAGTAGTTGTAGTCGTAGTAGTAGTAGTAGTAGTAGTAATAGTAGTAGTAGTAGTAGTAGTAAAAATAGTAGTAGTAGTACTAGTACAAGTACAAGTACAAGTACGACTAGTAGTACTAGTAGTAGTAGTAGTAGTAGTAGTAGTAGTAGTAGTAGTAGTAGTAGTAGTAGTAGTAGTAGTAGTAGTAGTAGTAGTAGTAGTAGTAGTAGTAGTAGTAGTAGTAGTAGTAGTAGTAGTAGTAGTAGTAGTAGTAGTAGTAGTAGTAGTAGTAGTAGTAGTAGTAGTAGTAGTAGTAGTAGTAGTAGTAGTAGTAGTAGTAGTAGTAGTAGTAGTAGTAGTAGTAGTAGTAGTAGTAGTAGTAGTAGTAGTAGTAGTAGTAGTAGTAGTAGTAGTAGTAGTAGTAGTAGTAGTAGTAGTAGTAGTAGTAGTGGTAGGCGTATTGGTAGTCGTCGTCGTAGTAATTGTACCCCAGGCCTCTCCCAAGGTGAATGCGGACCAAACCTTCGAGGGTAAGCCAACCGTGGCGACGAGAACCCTCCAGGACGAGCAGCGGCACCGGTAGCGTTTCCTCCCCATGAGCCTCGGTGTCGTGCTGGATGCAGTTCTCTATCAATCTCAGCACGTCCACGAGCAGGAAGGCCAGCGAGTCCAGGTGCTTCTCGAACAGCTCGACGAGCCTCGTGAGTGCCGCCAGGCAGGTGGGAGGGCCCATGGCCGCCGCCCACGAGGCCGCGTTGCCCTCCGCGCGGCCGTCGTCGGCCCTGCCGTCCGCGGCCCTAGCGTCCACGTGCTGCAGCTGGTGGTGGATGCCAGACGAAGAAAGGCGGCATACGGAGGTGTCGCGCCATGCCGACCCCAGCGCTGGCTCCTGACACCGCGGGGATCGTTACACCTTGAAGGATCGGCCGCTCCCGAAACGTCAGGGCGTTCAGCATCGACCGACTCTGGGTCGCCAACGCCTTTCAGGGTCGACACGACGCGAACTGACCGAAAGCAAAAACCTTCAGGGCTCCGCGGAGCGCGTCAGGGGCGGCTCCAGAGGCGCCGCGTGGGTGGGGTGCGTGGGGGGCCAGGGCCGATCCGAGAAGTCCGCGCGGAGCTCCGAAACAACATGCTTTTGCCACTCGTTCTTCCTCGGGGATGTCGTCGAACAGCGGCTTGATCACCCCGTTGAACACCAAGCGCCACGTGTCCTCGTCGAACACGCTGCCGCCGTGCTCGTCCAGGCAACCGAAGATGCCGTCCAGCGCCGCCGCCCGCACGTCCCGGCGCGGGTCGCTGACCAGCGAGGAGAGGCCACGCAAGATGGTCGGAGCAGGGCAAGCCGAGACAACAGGCAGTTGTTTGTTAGACGCTGGTTGCATGCATGGGATGGGGGGGCGATGGAATCAAGTGGGGGCGAAGCCTGAGCGGAGATCTGGACTTCACGCCGGTCGGGACTTGTTTGCACGCCTCTCGGCCCAAGGCTGTTTGAATTGACAGCGCGGAGAAAGATGGGGAGGGAGGAATGCTATGCAAGTGAGCTTGCCATAATCACGAATAGAGATACTCACACTTATACATATATGCATATCTATCCACATATATATGTATATATATATATATGAATTTATATATATGTATCTATATATGCTGAGTGTCGCTCATTTGATATGCCTGTCTTCTTGTTTTCACGGGATGCAATGTATATGTTCTATTGTGCTGCTTGCTTCCTGAACCCCGTGACCACATCCGAGACCTTATTTGAGTAGCCGTCCTCATCTCAAAATGTTATGCTTACTTTCTCTCCCGCTCGTTATGGATCGCAGGAATTGTCTGTGCATACGGCCCACCACAGGGTTCCCAAATTCCTTTTCTGGAGGATTACATAAGGATGCTTTGTGGCGGGTTACAGAAGGTTCTCATCCACGATAAGACGAAGCCAAGACGATAATAATATCGGGTGAGGATTAATGGGACATCTCTGAGATCCGGCGGCTCTGGAGAATATCTCGGGCGCCGCGGCATTCTCAGAGCGTTTGCTCTGGAACGGACTAATCCTCGTCATACCTCCGTCCGACCATGGGCTGTGAGTGTGTACAGCATGTCAATACCCTGACACTCGCCAATGTGATTGTTTCCTAAGTTCCTGGCCGCTTCCCTGGATAGGGGATCCATTACACGTCGGCCTGAAGAAGCAGGTGAAAATATGAAAGGAAGGCGGATAAGCCAGATTGCGTTCAGGCCCCCCCAGAGCAAAAGCAAATCGATTCTTGAAGTATTAAGGCGCTTTTGCACACTGATTGGCCACAGGCCCCGATAGCGAAATCGAGCACACCTGGGCGGTGTGGGCTATCGGGCCCACATCGGCGATCAAGGGGCGATTGGAGGTCGATGAGTCCCCCCTGAAGCTATCTTCCCGTTACGTTGCCCCTGATTTGGGAAGCCGAACACTACCGATACCACTACTCCCCGGACCTCTCCCTGACCAGACTTTGGAGGCGAATCCAGCGGTGGCGAGGAGGGCCTCCCAGGAGGCCCCCAAAAGTGGAAACTGAGGAAAGGGGTGGCAGTACTGATACCTTGCCCTCCTCGGAATCCAGCCTTGCCCTCGCTAGGACGTCCACTCCCCATGTATTGGTTGGCTTCCTGCGCGTATTTTCCTCCAGAGGATCCGAGATGCTCCAGGATGGTCCAGATTTTCAGGCGCTGACCGCGCCACTGGAAATGCACACATCCGAGGGATGCCAGGCAACTGAATCTCGCCGCCCTGCGCTGTTGTCATTGTAGGTGACAGGCTGCAACTGGCCAGGGTACCCTCGGCAGAAGGCCGAGAAAAAAAGTGCAAGAAAGGAAGAAACCGACCAAGAGTCGCCTGAGGCCACTCCCGGCTGGAGCCAAAAACACTGGGACGACCCCCAACAGTTACTCAATACACCAACTCGACCTACGGTAGATTCGTGCGGCGTCAGCGCGCGCAAAGCTTTCTGATGCCGCATCGATCGCTCAAGCTTGAATCGATCGCGGCCCCGATCGTTCAAGGTTGAGTGGTTGAATTCAGTCGGGTTCAGTGGCGTCACCGTGCCCATTGGTGCTTCCGCGTCAGAAGGTTCAACCCTGAACGCCCTCGCCGGCGTCGCCGGCGTGCCACCGCTGCACGCGCCTGCCGTAACCGAGTCGGTTCCGAGTCCGCCCTCTCTGCGCTGTCTCCACCCGGCCCTCCTCCGAGGATGGGCAGCCAGTGCACCGCGGGGTGGCCGCCCCCGGCAAGGGCGCCCGCCCCCGCCTCGGGGCCGCCCGCGGCGCCCCCGCCCGCGAGGTCGGCCTTCGGGGGCGGCAGCGGCGGGTCGGGCCTGCTGGGGTCCTGTGGGGCAGCGGTGCACTCGGATCGGCGCGGGGGGCTGCTGAGGGGACGAGGGGCTTGGGCGAGCGGTGTTCTGTCCGGCGTGTCGACATGGGGCGGGAAGGGGGGGGGGGGAGGGGGGGCTGGCTCAGGACCTCTGCTTTGCGCGGCTGTTTGTAGCAGTGCGTCATACGGGGGAGACTCCACCTGCTCGAAACAGGCGCCAGGGGGGGGGGGAAGGGGGGTTTGGGGGGCCCGCGCCGATCGGCAAAACAATAAATAAAAGAACGATCACTGGGCACCTTGGAAGCGACATGGCCACTTTTTACTGGTTCTGTTTTGCCGTTTTCGTTGTCGGTTCCGTCGCCGTGTTTTGTTGCTAGTTCCGTCGCCGTTGCTTTGCCGGTTCCAGCTCCAACTCCAATCCCAGAGCCGTTTTTTGCTGTTCCTGGTCGCCGTGCGTTTTGTGTTTGTGTTTGCCATCTCCTTTTTCAAGGGACACAACTTCGAAAACGGTGAGAACATTGCTCACTGCATGCAGCTCCCTATGTCTGCATCCTGTCTAGAAGGTAATATTGTATTTTGGATATTGGAATGAGCGTCTAGCCATATGAGCCATATGTGAATCTCACATTGCACGGTAGTGCTAGGGTGAACATATGTCAATGTCTTTTTCTGTTATAAGGGCGCGTCTACGTAAGCGAGATCACAACCGCGAAAGCACCCTTACCAGCTCACCGTAGGTAGCTGAAACCAGCGCCCCGCCGGAGACATCCTCACAATCTGCTCTCCAAGCGAAGGATGTTGAGACAGAAAACAAGCAAACCGCTTGAGACATCCCCACAAACGGCCGCGAACGGGACCGTGTCATACCCCTCGGCGGCTCCCTTTAGGGGTGCTAAAGCCAGCGCCCCGCCTGAGACATCCTCACAATCTGCTCTCCAAGCGAAGGATGTTGAGACAGAAAACAAGCAAACCGCTTGAGACATCCCCACAAACGGCCGCGAACGGGAGCGTGTCAAACCCCCCGGCGGCTTCCCTTAGGGGTGCTGGAACCAGCGCCCCGCCTGAGACATCCTCACAATATGCTCTACAAGCGAAAAGATGTCGAGACAGAAAACAAGCAAACCGCTTGAGACATCCCCACAAACGGCCGCGAACGGGACCGTGTCATACCCCTCGGCGGCTCCCTTTAGGGGTGCTAAAGCCAGCGCCCCGCCTGAGACATCCTCACAATCTGCTCTCCAAGCGAAGGATGTTGAGACAGAAAACAAGCAAACCGCTTGAGACATCCCCACAAACGGCCGCGAACGGGAGCGTGTCATACCCCCCAGCGGCTTCCCTTAGGGGTGCTGGAACAAGCGCCCCGCCTGAGACATCCTTACAATATGCTCTCCAAGCGAAGGGATGTCGAGACAGAAAACAAGCAAACCGCTTGAGGCATCCCCACAAACGGCCGCGAACGGGACCGTGTCATACCCCTCGGCGGCTCCCCTTGGGGGTGCTGAAGCCAACGCCCCGCCTGAGACATCCTCACAATCTGCTCTCCAAGCGAAGGGGGTTGAGACAGAAAACAGGCAAACCGCTTGAGACATCCCCGCAAAACGGCCGCGAACGGGAGCGTGTCATACCCCTTGGCGGCTCCCCTTAGGGGTGCTGAAGCCAGCGCCCCGCCTGAGACATCCTTACAATCTGTTGTGTATTGAGTAAGTCAGACAATGATGAGGTATGAGTATGAGTAAGTTTGGGTATGAGTGAGTCTCAGCATGAGTAGGTCTGAGTATGAGTTGGTCTGAGTCTGAGTAGGTCTGAGCATGATAAGTTAGTATGATCAGGTCTGAGTAGGAGTAAGCCTGTGCATGAGTATGTTTATGAATAAGTCTAGGTATGAGGAGGGGGATGAGGAGGAGGAGGAGGAGATGAAGAGGAAGGAGGGGTAGGAGGCGTCTCAGTAATAACAAGAACCCCATCTTAGGATATGGGAAACAACTGCCCTGCCGTATCTGGGGCCAACTGGGATAACGGGGTTACCACTGTATGACAAGGTGGGCTAGATAAGGCCAAATCTAGCTTACAAGCGGGTCACGGGTTCCCCAAGTGGCCGATGGGGGTGACATCGCTCCTCTGCGTGGGCGGAGCCCAAGTAGCTTGATCGCCGAGCCGCTTATGGCTGCAATGATACGGCTATGTGCAAGGATTGGCAAGACATAGCCCACCTAGGCATCCATAGAACCCCCGATCCTCTTAACAACTCCCGCGCCTATCAGAACGTAGGGGGGACTGGCTCGATGCTTTCAAAACTTTCGATGTCGCCAGACATTTTCATCAATCATCGGCGGCTCGTGACCGTGATCATTCCTTTCCCGGGCAACGGTCGCTACATGGGGTTAGGTTGCTCCCATCGCACTTAACCCGAGGAATAATTCCGAGCACCCAAGAAAGTATCGAAACAGTATCGAACGAGTATCGCCTCTTAGGGCCCGACACGTGACAACCCTCCAGTTTCGGTACCTTCTTGGTGCTCGAAAGTCTTGCTGGTGATCAAGGCTAATGTAGGCTGGAACATCAAAATCGGGGGGTGGAATCGGGCAAGAAGTCAACAGTCAACATGCCTTTCAGCACCACGCCGTGCCTGTGAGCTCAGCGCCGAAACAGGTAGGGAGCCCGCGAGCGCCACAGCACCTTTGTGAGCACCAAAGCATGCGTTTTAGCACCACGCCATGCCTGTGAGCTCGGCGCCATACCTGCGTGTACGGAGGGGGTCCATGCCACCCCCCAAGTACGATCGTTAGCGTTACCCGGGGGGGGGGGGCCTGGGTAACGAGCGTTACAGTCGGCCCATTCCATAGGGATGCGCGATAAGGAAGGGCCTTGAACGCCCACTCCGAAGCTTTTCGAGCGGGGCGCGGCCTACGAAAGCGGCCAAGGATGGACCGAGGAGGCAAGGATTTCAGCAGGGACCGACCGTCTCGGCATTCCTATATTCATACCACGCAATGTTCTTAGAACCCTAACAAGTTCTAAGAACAAAAACAATGTTCTTAGAACATAAACCCGAGGTGATAAAACAAGACAGTCCCTGCCAGACATGTTCTAAGAACATTTCGTGGAAACGTCAAAAGGTTCTTAGAACATTGTTCGGTAGGGCTATAGGCGAGCCAGGACGCTTCGCCACTGCTTGAAGGATGCCGGGGTACACCTTGAAGGCTGCCCGTCATTTTGCTCTGCGGGCTGACTGCAGGGGGGCCCAGCCCGTCCCCCCTCGTACGATCGTTAGCGTTACCCCGGGGGGGGGGGGGGGCAGATAACGAGCGTTGGTAGAACTGGGTTTAGTGGAACCTGGCTTAATGATTTGTACCGGGGGCGCCCCCACGTCCCATTTCCACTCACCCGAACTGCCGTCACCCCAAAAACACAAGTTACGGCAAACCTGGTTTAGTGAATCTGGCCAATTGAGGGGCCCCAGGGCCCTACCACTAACCGGGTCCCCTTACCCGGGGTCCTGTCTATACCCGACAGGTAACGAGCGTTACCCTGGGGAGGAACAGAAGAAGCCAAACAAAAAAAGGTGGCTTCTTCAGCCTCGGCGGGGCGTCTTCCAGCGGCCCCTCGCCTCGCCGAGGGCGGCCCGATGGGCCTCCCCCGCACCGCCCTGCCGAGACGCCGCCGCGGGCCCGAGCAAAGGACCCGGAACAACTGCCTGGGGACGGGCCCGGGGGCGGACACGACGACCCGGAAGCGGCGATACACCGCCGACAGTCGGCGAGAGGTCCCCGCGAGAGTGGCGTCCCAGGGGCTCCCAGAGCGTCCCGAAGCGCCACCGCAGGCCCGAGCTATGACCCAGAAACTACCACGGGACCGGCCCGGGGGTGGACACAACGATGAGCATCGTTTATCCGATCCCAATCCCCAGCGGCGTGGCCTGGGCCCCACTGGCCGATTTACCCCCCTAGATGGGGATCTAGGCCGTTCCCTTCGGGTTTCGAGGGGTGCATCCCCAACTGGGGTGGTAATTTGGTGGGGGTCTCGCGAAGGGGATGAAGATGGGGATGGAGGTCGGTCAAACGATACTGACACGACCTGGAAGCGGCGATGCATCGCCAACAGATTGGCGAGGAGTCCCCGAGAGTAACTCCGCACGGCTCTCTCGGCAGGTTGGGGCTGCCGGGCCCCCATCGGCGATCAATGGAATGTCCTGGGAGCGCCCCGGGAGCGCCCTCAGCGCGCCCTGGGAGCACTCTCGAAGCGCTCTGGGGGCGCCCTAGGAGCGCCCGCGAACGCCCTGGGAGGAGCGCCCTGGGAGCGCCCTGGAAGCGCCCTGGGAGCTCGCTGAGAGCGCCCTGGGAGCGCCCTGGGAGCGCTCTGGGCGATGGGGGGTCGATGCATCCCCCCCTGTGCTTGTGGATGCCACGACAATGGACACCCCAACGATCCGATCATTGAATGAAACATGTGTTCAAAATGCGTAAAGCATGTCCTAAACATGTGTCAAGCATGCTTCAAACGTGCTTTTACATGGTTAAGACATGTTCAAAACGTGTCTCAGACTTCCACAGCCCTGTCCCTGGCCCTCCCCCCCCCTGTCGTGGCCCCTGAGGTCCGCGAGGCAGCCGGCGGCCTGCAGCAGGTAGCCGATGGCCCGGAGGGCGCCGGCGGTGTGCTCCGAAGGAAACGAGGTGTAGCGCGGACTCGTGTCAAGGCGGGCCTGTCCCCCTGCAGGGGGATTGTGGCAGAGAAATTACACAGACCCCAAAGATGCCCCCAGAATGCTAAAAGATAGTCCCAAAATAGCCCCCAGACTATTATGTGGACTATTGTTGGATATTCCCCCTGTAGAGGGACAGGCCCGACTTAAGATTCGTGTCGTGTCGACCCCGATTCTAGGTCGCAGGCGGCATTCCGCGTTGAACGCCGGCAGCGGGGTCGCCGCCAGCCTGCACGACGCGACCCTGCAGTACCGACAGCGCCGCAGCCTTTCTAGAGGCCTCCCAGATGGGGTCCGAGCAGCTGGAGTCGGAAAAAATTGCACCACACCGCCGACGCAGGTGCCGATGCATCTATCGAGCCGATCTTACAGAACTCCTAACATTCAAGGGCTAACTATCGAGGCCTCCTGGATGGAGTCCGAGTAGATGGGGTCGGAGAATCGCGCCGCATCGTCGATGCATCACCGATGCATAACCGATGCACTGGCGAAGTTGGCGAAGCATCGCCGACGTCGGCGAGGAGAAGATCAGGCTGCACATCGAGCCGCATCGCCGACGCATCGACGATGCGGCGCGATGCTAATACCCCACCTAGTCGGACCCCATCTGGGAGGCCCAGACTTCCCGTCGCCTGGGGGGGGAGGCAGAGGGGGGGCCTTCACGCAGAAGGCTCACAGGGCCTCGGGCCTCTCTGGGAAACTCTCTAGGCGTCCTCCCCGCCGCCGTCTGAGACTTTCACCCCCCCTGGGGCGCCGCCGAACGGCTGGATTCGCCCCGAAATTCTGGCTAGACTTGAGCTTTGCTTACATGGGGGGCGATAGTTGGGGCGACGAAAAACCGTGCACCCTCCATGCCACTTTTGGGCTCCAAGGGGCCCCTTTTGGGCCTCCTCAGTGCACGAGGGGTACACGTTTCCCCCCCCCACCCCTCCCTTCATCGCCCCCGCACTGCGCAACGACCGAAGAATGGGCACCATGGGAGAGGTCAGGGGAGCAGCGGTACCGGTACCTTTTTGCACCCCACCGGTGTAACTACACCTGCGCCCATCCTGGTCCCAGGCCCATCCCTAGGCCCAGGGCCCAGGAGCAGAGTGCCTGCGCCCGAGCGGCCAAGCCAGGAGGGCCCATACAGATTTTTCCCTACCTAGGCTCTGCCTAGAGGGCTCTTACTCTCTTAGCTTAAAGGGGCCGGGCAGTGTAAATCGCCCCGGGCGGTTCCCCCAGTCCCCGCCCCGCGGTTCCCCCAGTCCCCTGGGAGCTTTAGCTATAGCTTTAGCTTTAGCATTAGCTTAGCTTTAGCTTAGCTTTAGCTTAGATTTAGCTTAGCTTCAGCTTAGCTTTAGCTTAGCTTTAGCTTAGCTTTAGCTTAACTTTAGCTTAACTGAAGTTTAGCTTTAGCTTAGCTTTAGCCTAGCTTTAGCTTAGCTTCAGCTTAGCTCCAGCTTCGCTTTAGCTTAGCTTTAGCTTAGCTTCAGCTTAGCTTCAGCTTAGCTTCAGCTTAGCATCAGCTTAGCTTTAGCTTAGCTTTAGCTTAGCTTTAGCTTAGCTTTAGCTTAGCTTTAGCTTAGCTTCAGCTTAGCTTCAGCTTAGCTTCAGCTTAGCTCCAGCTTAGCTTTAGCTTAGCTTTAGCTTAGCTTTAGCTTAGCTTTAGCTCAGCTTTAGCTTAGCTTCAGCTTAGCTTCAGCTTAGCTTTAGCTTAGCTTTAGCTTAGCTTTAGCTTAGCTTAGCTTCAGCTTAGCTTCAGCTTAGCTTCAGCTTAGCTTTAACTTAGCTTTAGCGTAGCTTTAGCTTAGCTTTAGCTTAGCTTTAGCTTAGCTTTAGCTTAGCTTTAGCTTATCATCAGCTTATATTTAGCTTATATGTAGCTTAGCTTTAGCTTAGATTTAACTTAACTTTAGCTCAGCGTTAGCTCAGCTTTAGCTTAGCTTCAGCTTAGCTTCAGCTTAGCTTTGTCTTAGCTTTAGCTTAGCTTTAGCTTAGCTTTAGCGTAGCTTTAGCTTAGCTTAGCTTTAGCTTAGCTTTAGCTTAGCTTCACTGTTACTACTAATGCTGCTTTCCTAGGGGCTCCAACTCCTAGGTAGGGTCGCACTGGGATAATTCTGGCCCTGCCAGGAGGACCGCGAAACGTTGATCAAAGAGCGAGGCCCAAGGAAGACACTTCTCGGGAGCGGCCGAGCTCTTGTTTGGAGGCGTTCCGTCGTAGTGGCCCCTCCCACTTGCCGTCGCTGGGACGACCATTTCCCGTGCATGTTTCGGTTTCGTGCGTGCTTTTGATGAGCTCGATGGTCCTCGACGGTTCTCGCCGAGAAGAGATGCACACGTCCGAGCGATGCCAAGCCCAAGGAACGACGAGCGGGCTCCCTGCCAAGACCGCGAGGGAGCGCAGGCGGGCCCCGGGAGCCACCGGGAGCCCCTTTCCGAGCACGAGCTTGACCACACTGCAGCGCCACGACTGCACACTTGGCGGCCTGGAGATCGACACCAGCGCGAAGTCGGGCATGTCCCCCTACAGGGGGATTTTGGACGAAACACAAAAAAAAATTACCCCAACATGCCCCCCAAATGGTTTATAAATAATCGAAAAGTAGTCCCTTGACTATTTTTTGACTATTTGGGATTACTCCTCCTGTAGAGGGACACGCCCGACTTAACACCAGCGGCAACACAAGGGCTGGCCTCCACTGGGGGAAGATGACTCTGGATCTTGGTGCTGGTGGTAACCTCTCGGCCAAACAAGGAGGCCAGATTATCACCACCATCGCCGAGATCAAGATCAGCTTCCCTCGGCGGGTGCAATCGCCGGTGCTGGTGCTGGTGCCACATCTAGGCCTCCAATGTACACCGACCCTTGCTTGCCATCGCTCGGACGTGAATTCCACGTGCATTTATCGGTCTCGTGCGCTGTTTTTGTTCTCACCACGATGATCCAGTATATGATCCTTGATGGTCTTCGCCGCGAACATGCACACGTCCGAGCGGTGCCAAGCTTGTCCTAGGATTCGGGTTGGGGATCGACTACAGCATCGACCTTGGAAGGCTGCTCAGTGGACCTACCAACATGTTACGGATTTGCTGACATATTCGACGGAGGAATAAGGATTTTGGGTGAATCCAATCTGCAACCGATCCACCACTCGCAGGATCGGCCTTGCCTTAGGTCGGGCATGTCCTCCTACAGGCGGATTTTGGACGCCAAATAAAAAGTAGTCAAAACAAAAAAAAATGAAAATAGCCAGAAGGAGTCAAAAAATCGGCGCCTGACTACTTTTTCACTATTTTTGAATGGCCCTCCTGCAAAGGGACATGCCCGACTTCAACATTGCCGAGACCGGTGCACGTGCACGGCCGGCGCCCTCCGAGGGCTGGCCCGGAGGGACATGTCCCTGCTCGCCCGGCAGTGCCCGAAGGCGAGCAGCGCCCGGATGCCCTCCGAGAAATTCTCCACGAAGACGTCATTGTAGTGGTCCTTGACAGGGCTCGATTCGATGCCTTCCATTCGCTTCCGTTCGACTTCGACGGCTGCCGATGCGATTCGATTGGACTTCGGACTCCGATCTGGATTCCAATTTCTTAATGGAGGCCTACAGGCCTGTCGCTTTCCGCCGATTCGTCTTTTCCCGACTTCGGTTTCGATTTCCGCCGATTCGATTCATTTCGATCGCTAATCCGACTTATCAATTCGATTGTGGGCTCGCCTGCCTTGATCACCCGCTCCACGATGGCGAACGAGCACTGGGCGATGGCCTCGAAGGCGAAGCCAGGACGAGGATCCAATCGGGGGAAGAAAGCAATCAGGAATCCCCGAGATCTGGCGGCTCTGAAGGATGTATCGAACGTCGCGGCCCTCTCAGAGCGTTCCAGAATGCTCGGGGAGCATTCCGGAATGCTGTGGAACTAGTTTATCCTCGTCCTAGCCCAGTCCGAGCCTCGTTACTGTGCTCCTGGGCTGCTGCGTGCAGAATGTGGAACACGGTCTTCCAGCCGGACTTGATATTCTTAAGCCGGCCCTGTACCATGTTCGAGATGATGGACACGATGAGATCCTTGACCTCCTGTGTGACTCCTGGCGTGGAGACCATCACCACCTCGAAAGGCCTCAGGAAATCCGCCTGGAAATTGTAGTTGCTCAGCTCGTCCTTTTCCAGAAACTTCATCGCCAACTGCCGAAGGGAATCGATCGCGAACATGCAGACACGGATGTTGGGGTTGCATGCGACCTCGATGAAGTGGTTGCTCAGCACCTGCCATATGCGCGACCATACCAATCGAATGCGGTTCATGTTGTAGTCCGCCACCTCCACCAACTTCTGCAGTGAGAAGATGCGCGGCTGGTCGGGGAGAGCCAACTCCTCCTTGGAGACGCGCACGAGCTGGGTGACAAAGTGAACGACGGCAGTGGAGTCCAGCTTCGTGGACTTATTGAAGAGCAGCTCGATCTGAGCAGCGTCTATCTGGGACACGATCGACTCGGAGTTCACCATCTCTATCTGGCGATCGTCCTGGCCTAGCGACACCAGCGCCGAGACCCCTAGGCCATGAGTCCGCCTTTTCACGATCTGCCCGCCCTGGGTGCTAACGCCCGCAGAACGCTGCGCCAGGGCAGCCTCCTCCTCGAAGAATTGGAAGTCCTGCCTCGTTTTGTGGCCTATCAGCTGCATGCGCTCTAGCTGCGAGATGCAGACCAGGACGTAGTGCCACGACGGTCCCAGGTTGTTGCCCTCTGAGAGCCCTATGGCGAGCAGCGCCTTGATGCACTCGATGTTCTTCTGCTTCATCTCCTTGACGGTGGTCAGATACGTGAACTTCGCCAGGGACGAGACGAGGGCGTCGCGCTCAGTGTCCATGTCGAAGCGTGCTGCTATCCTGATGCAGTGCTTGAAGCCTTCGATGCACAGGTCAACGGCGCTCGGGGAGTCCTGCATCTCCAGCAGGACCGCCAGCGTGGCGAGGTACGGCCAGCACGCGACCTCGAAGAGAGGCCTGACGTGCTCCACGCACAGGACGTGCTTGCTCGCCTTCGACTTGCCAGCCTCCTCCTCCTCCTCCTCCACCTCCTCCTCCTCCTCCGCCACCGCATCCTCCTCCTCCTCCTCCTCCTCCTCCTTCGCCTTCGACTTGCCCGTCTTCAGCTTCATCATCTCCTCGCACTTCCCCACGATGCTCTCCGTCTCCCGCACGAAGAGCTCGTACTTCTGCGCCGCTCCCTGGGCGGCCTGCGACTCCATGGCGAGCTGCGCCTCCCGGTCCTCCTGCAGCGAGATCGGGTTCTTCTCCACGGCCTCGTAGAGCTTCTCGAGGTGCTCTCGGGGGAGGTCCTGGTTGTCGTTGATCCCCCGGTTGTTCCGCACGAACTCGTCCTTGGTCATCTTGTTTTTGATGCCCGGGTTGTGCAGGTCCGTCTGAAGCATGATCAGCGAGAACGAGAGCACGAAAGCGCAGTCTGCATTCGTGTACTTGTTCGGGTTGTCGCTGCAGTACTTCTCCGCAAACTTCTCCATCATCCTGTGAAGGGCAACGTTCGGGGGAGATCGGATCAGGAACATCGACCTGGGATCGGCGACACATCGACGATCCCAGGTCGATGTGTCGCCGATCCCAGGGTAGACCGGTGATAGGCTTTCGGCAGCTAAACCACACGGTCCTGGGGGGTGAACTATGGGGCCCTATAAGCGATCGATGGGCGATTGGGGGTAACGTCGTTCATTTCTAATCGTGCGCATTTCTATTGTGCTCGTTTCTAATTGTTCCTGGCCCCCTAGTGGCCAGAAAGAGGCCCAGGACAGAACACTCAGAAATGAAAGGATCTGGGCCCCCAAAAAAATCAAAGACCTTTCGAAGAAATAGAAGCGAACAACCTGTAGAGGAATCCCCCCCCCGAGCTCTTCTCCCGAATAGCGCTTCGCCCAGAAAGGTTCTAACCCCCGGGGAGGGGGGGAAGCCCCAGACCGCTGGGTGTCTGGCAGCCGTCTCGCCTGAGACCTCTTCACACTTGATCCAAGAGAGGGGGCCACATGCGAACCCTACCCCTGCCCCCCACGATTCTTGAGAGGGAGGGAGGGGAGCGAAGTGAACCCCACCCTCCCCCTCAAAAATCGTGGGGGGTAGGGGTAGGGTTTGCATGTGGCCCCCTACAAGAGTCGTGCTCACCGAGACGAAGCTAGGACGAGGATAACATCGGGTGAGTGCAAATCGAGGATCTTTGAGATCTGGCGGCTCTGGAGGATGTCTCGGGCGCCGCGGCCGTCTGGGAGCGGTCCGAAACGCTCTGAGATCGATCCGGAACGCCCTGGAACGGATCTATCCTCGTCCAAGTCGGGCCGGGCGAAAGGGTGGCATAGCAAAGGGGGGTTTGAGAATCAGATCACAGAGCTGCTTTCCCTGGCGCCTCCCGGCGCCGGAGGCAGCCATGTCTCGGGGAATGGGCCCCGCGGTGGGACCGAAACCTGCTGCACGCAGCAGATTTCGTACCCCCCCCTTCCCCAACAATCCCCCCCTTCCGTCCAGCCCGCGCCTCTCGCCTCGACTCCAGCGGCAAGATTTGGTTTGGGCGGCTGCGATCACGCGTCAGCAACTGCACCGAGGTGCAGGTGGCTGTGCTCCCACCCACTGTGTGCCGGCTGCCTCTGTTCTTTTCGCAGGGCTTCCCGACCGTGCTGCTGCGACTCTTCTTCACCGCTGCTGCTGTTAGGGCGCCCGGCTGGGGCAATCACCCCCACGTCGCTGCGTGAGATTGCCGCTGGTCCTGTCGATCTTCTGGGCCTCGCCAGGAAGGCGGAAGATTGAGAGGAAGCTCCTACCGAGGAGCAACAACCTGCACAAACATTATTTATCAGAGGTCCGCGCGGGCTTCTTAGATTTGGGTAGGGCATGTCCTCCTACAGGCGGATGTTTGAAGGAAAATGCAAAACAGTCAACATAGGTCTTAACATAACTAAACTTTCACAAAACAAAAAACAATATCGTCCCCAGATGTCTGACCCTTCTCGACTACTCCTCCTGTAGAGGGAGAGGCCCGACGTGATCTTAGATCCGCGCTGGCCCAGGGCGGCGCCGGAGGCACCAGCCGTGGAAAGGCCGGCGCCGATCCAGGAAGCCCGCGCGGAGCTCAAGGGAAGGCATGGCCCGTGCGGCTTGCTGCTCGTCGAGCTCCGCAGGCTCTCGTCCAGCTCCTGGCCCGCGAAGTCCTGCAGGTCCACCATCGCGTACAGCACGCCCTTGTTGAAGGCCTTGTCCTCGCCCAGATCCGCCTCCCCTGCGAGAAAGGGGGTGCCCGGGGAGTGTGCCCTCGGGCCCCCTGGGCAAGCTGTACCCACGGGGGGCGTGGCAGCAAGAAGCGTGCGACGCGGTGCCGCCGGCCCGCTGATGGAACGCTATCCCCCTACCTCGGGGATAGCGCGCGACTGCAGGAGGCTCCAGCAGGGGGATGGCGTGCCCCGACGAGGCCCTCGCAGGAAGATGGCGCGCGCAGATAGGGGCCCTCGCAGAGGGATCGCCTCAGAGGAATAGCGTGCGTTTGGGAGATCGATGTTGCACGCCATCTTTGAGACGACAGAGGTAGATAGTCCTGCAAACATTCCTGGAGGGCCACAGGAGGCCCCAAAGAGTGCCTAAACATGGTCCGAGAGGCACCCAAGAGGCCCCCGAGACGACCCAAGACTCCCCCACAAACGCATCCAAGAGGCTGCCAGGACGCCTCCGACGGGACCCCCACATGAACGAAGAGGCCTCTGACCTAACACTCCGCGCTCGGTGGTGGCGGGATGGGCCGAAGGCCACTAGATCCGCCGCCCCCTTTTGATTTATCAAAGGGGTGCCTGGCGTGCCGAATCCTATCGGTTTCGGTTTTGGTTTTTTTTCCAAAAGGACTCCCCCTGGGGTTTCGGCCCGTCCCGCCGGCCACACGGAAAACCCGTCTGTCGTCGCCAAAAACGGCCCTTTCGCTCGGGACATCCTCGAACAAACGCGAAGATGGCTCAAGATGACCTCCAAGTCCGCCCAAGATGGTCCAAGACGGCCTCCAAGACGGCCCAAGAGAGTCCAAGACGGCCCAAGACTGCCCAAAAGGCCCCCCAGACGCCTCCAAGACGGCCCAAGAGGCCTCCAAGAGGTCCTCCCGGAGGGCCCGAAGAGGCCCAAATCATTGATTTTCCGTAGGTTTTTGAAGGATGTTGGAATTTGCTTCTGCTCGGCATTCCGACGGCTCAAGACGGCCCAAGAGGCACCCAAGATTGCCCAAGAGGCCCCCAAGAGGGCCCAATGACGGCCCAAGTGGCCTCCAAGACTGCCCAAAGAGGGCCCCAAGACGGCCCGAGAGGCTTCCAACACGCCCAAGGGGCCCCCAAGACGGCACAGGAGGCTTCCATCCAAGACGCCCAAGATGACCTCCAAGACGGCCCCGAGCGCCCCAAGAGGGCCCCCAGTCGGCCCAGAAAGGCTCCCAAAACGGCTCCCGACGGCGTCAGACGTGCCAGGAACCCACCAAGATGGCCGAAGTTGGCTCGAAGCTGGCCCAAGACGGCCCAAGAGGCCTCCATGATGGCCTCAAGGATGGTCAGAAGAGGCCAAAAACCTTGATTTGCCTGAAGTTGTTGACTGATCTTGACATTTCCTTCTTTTCGGCCTTTCGACGGCCCAAGAGGCTCCAAATATCGCCGAAAGATCGTCCAAGAGGCCTCCAAGATGGCCCCAGAACGGCCCAAGAGGGCCCCAAGACAGCCCCAAGAGGCGCCCAAGACGGCACGGGAGGCCTTTAAGACGCCCAAGATGGCCTCCAAGACGGCTCTGGAGCATTCCAAGAGGGCCCCGAGTCGGCACATAGAGGCCCCCCAAACGGCTTCCGACGGCGTCAGACGGACCAGGAGCCCACCAAGACGGCCGAACATGGCCCTAAAATTGTGACTTCAGCGGCCGCGACAATACCCTCCCCAGGAGAAACCCTCGAAACTAAGCAAAATGTATGCAAGATGTACAAACAAGAACTACAAAAATATTACTTACAAAACTATCGGAAAAATACGCAGGGGACCGATCACCGATCCGCGAGCGCGCCACGAAACAAACGCGCCGCGGCCACGCAGCGAGACGACGCCGCCGCGGCGCACAACGGCGAGGCTCCGCTACCACTACGGAGGATCGAGGCCCCGCCGCGGCGCGGCGAGGCCATGCCGCTCCAGCCCCCAAAAAAACACGCCGAGGGTTTGGGCCAAAATAGCAACTGACTTGGAGGGGGAGGGGGGGCGGAATTCGCAAGGGAGCAAACTGGGCGGCAGGGGGCAAGAGGAGGAGACCGAGGACAGGGGGCACAAGAAGAGAAAGTGGGAGGAGACACGGGGGGCGGAAAACGGAAGAGGGGAAGTGAAAGGGAAGCGGAAGGGGGGGGAAGAAGAGGAGACGCAGCAGAGACAGAGGGAGGGAAGTAGAAAGGACATTGCTTGAAAATGAAGGGTGGGCGGGGTGGAAGGAAGGGCGCGGGGGAGAGGGAAGGAACGGGGAGGGCCCCGCGGCTCGGCCGCCGCCTGGCTGCCGCCGCCGCCTGGCCGCCTGGCCTGCACGTCGCCATAGATGCCTCCTCATCCCCCCCTTCCTCATCCCTCGCTCTCCCCCCCCTTCCCCCATCCACCCTGTTTTTCCTCAGCCCCACCCCTTCCTTCCAGGAGGGGGTGGCTGAGGGATTGGGGCATGATGCGCGGGGGGGATTGGGGGAGGGAGGGAGAAGGAGGGGGATTGGACGCAGGATAGAGGGGGAGGGCGAAGAGAGAAAGGGCGAGGGGGGATGGGGGAGCGGGGTTGGAAAATGCAGCCACGGAAGCGGCGGCGCAAGGTGCCCTTCATTCTCAACCATCTCGCGGTGTTGGGTCCTCGTTTTGCAGAGACAGCGCCCCGCGTTCCGCGCTCACTTCGCCCTCCTCCTCCCCCTCCCCCCTCCCTCGCTCCTCCCATCCCCGCCCCTGCCCTCCGCATGTATCTGTTTCGGCGCACCACTCAGACGTTTCGCGGCCCCATGGTGAGCTCTGCTTAAGGCCCCAGTGGGAAAGCTAACATGGCACCGCCGCCCCACTTCGGCACACCCCGCACACGTTCCGCGGCCCCTTGGGAACCCGACCTTCGGCTTCAGTGGGGAAGTTTGCGTGGCGCCGCCGCCTCATTTCGGCACGCACCCCACGCGTTTCGCGACCCCATTGAGAGCTCCACCTAAGGCATCAGTGGGAAAGTTCGCATGGCACCGCCACCCAATTTCGGCGCACACCTCACACGTTCCGCGGCCCCATGGGGAGCCCCGCCAAAGGCCCAAATGAAAAGTTTGGATGGCATTGCCGCTCAAGTTCGGCGCACACCTCCGACGCTTCGTGGCCCCATGGGGAGCTCCACCGAAGGCCTCAGCGGGAAAATTCGCATGACACCGCCATCAATTACGGCACTCCCCGCGCACGCTTCGCGGCCCCATGGGGAGCGTCGCCTAAGGCTTCAGTGGGGAAGTTCGCATGGCACCGCCGCCCCATTTCGGCATACCCCTCACACGTTGCGCTGCCCCATAGGGAACCCCGCCGAAGGCATCAGTGGGGAAGTTCGCATGGCACCGCCGCGCTATTTCGGCACTCCCCTCGCACGCTTCGTGGCCCCATGGGAGCCCCGCTTAAGGCCTCAGTGGGAAAGATCGCGTGGCACCAGCGCCCATTTTGGCACAACCCTCATAGGTTTCGTGGCACCGTGGTGAACCCCACCGAATGTCCCAATAGAAAATTCGCATGCGCCGCCGCCCCATTTCGGCACACCCCTTACACGCTTCGTGGCCTCATAGGGAGCTCCGCCTAAGGCCCCAATGGAGAAGCTCTCATGGCACAGCCGCGCCATGTCGGCACACCCCTCACACGTTTTGTGGCACCAGAGGGGGGGGGGCACCTAAGGCCCCAATGTGAAGGTAGCGTGGCACCGCCGCCCATGTCGGCACGCCCCTCAAACGTGTCGAGGTCCCACAAAGAGCTTCGCCGCCGCAGGTGGTAGGCGCAACTACAGTATTCACAACTGCACATGGTTGGGCGGGCCCTTCGCCAGGATCACCCCACCAGCCCTTTGGGCGTAGGTGGTTTAGCGAGTTGCGCGTTCTCTCTGCCAACACCTCCTTCCCCTGCTCAGGGGAGGGGTGCACCAATCCCCCTGCCCCCTCCCATGGGCCTGGGAGGGGGGGGGGGGGGATCGACCCATCAGAGCGCCCAAGATGGCCCAAGATGGCTCCCAGAGAGCCCTAGAAACCCAAGATGGCACCCAAGATGGCCACGATAACTCAAGCTGGCTCAAGGTGGCTTCCGACCCGCATCCAAGAAGCTTCGATACGACCCCGAGGGGAATTCCAGTCGCTCGGGCCATTCAAGGACCCCACAAAAAATGCCAAACGGGTTCCGAAACCTACGGAAACTCAATGTTGATTGTTTTCTCGCTCCCTCGTTTCCGATGGGCTCTCGGGGCGTCAAGACGGCAGCAATCTTGCCCCAGAGGGCCCCGAGGGAGGCCCAAGGTTGCCCCATGACGGCCCAAGAGCGCCCACGACCGTCCTAAGAAAAGTGGCACCAGAGGGCCCCAAGGCGTTGCGGTGAGTTCCCAAGGGGGGCGATCCGAATTAACGCAACATTCTTTTTGTTTCAGCCGTGGCCCCCAAGATGGCCCGACGAGGGGGGGCCAGACGCCCAGACAGAGCCACAAGAGGGCCCCAAGACCACCCCAACAGAGCCCCAAGATGGCCCCAAGAGGGCCCCAAGAGAACCCCCAGAGAGCCCCAAGGTGGCCCCAAAAGACCTCCGAAAAAACGCTTCCTAGGCGGTCGTTACGCAGCCTGCTGGTCACCAACACCGCCAGCACCCGCAGCAGCACCAGCAGAACCACCATCAGCCGCAGCACCACCACAACCACCAGCACCAACACCAGCAGCAGCACCAGCAGCACCAGCAGCAGCACCAGCAGCACGATAATAAACAGTACCAGCCAGAGCAGCAGCACCAGCAGCACCAGCAGCATCAGCTCCAGCACCACCACCACCAGCCATAACACCAGCAGCAGCACCAGCATCGCCAGCAGCACACGCACACCGTCAGTCGCACCAGCAGCAGCAGCAGCAGCAGCAGCAGCACCAGCCGCATCGGTCCCGAGCTTTACCCCTCGAGGTGACCACGGAGTGGTCCCGAGTTTTACCCCTCGAGGTGATCGCGGATCGATCCCGAACTTTACCCCTCGAGGTGACAACGGATCCGCCCCGAGCTTTAAGCTCGGGACCGATCCGATGTCATTTCGAGGGGTAACGCTCGGGACCGATCCGTGGCCACCTCGAGGGGCAACGCTTGGGACCGATCCGAGGTCACCTCGGGTGGTAAAGTTCAGGGCGGATCCGTGGTCACCTCGAGGAGTAAAGTTCGGAACTGATCCGTGGTCGCCTCGAGGGGTAAACCCCTCGAGGTGACTTCGGATCGGTCCCGAGCGTTATCCACCCGAGGTGTCAAGGTGGCCCCACGATGCGGGAGAACCACCAGCAGCAACAAGAGAAACAACACCAGCATTGACAACAGCACCACCAGCAGCATAAGCAGAACCAGCAACAGCCCAGGCGGAATCCCAGCAGTAGGACAAACACCACAAGCGCCAGCAACATCAGCAACGGCACCAGCAGCGGCACCGCCAGCACCAGGAGCAAAAACACCAACACCATCACCAGCAGAAGCACCGCCCGTCTGCGCTTCTAGAGCTCCCCCACTTCACTATTGTGACCAGCGGCACTGCCGTGGCATAGGCAACACGTAGTATGTCACCAGCCTTATGTTCCAGCTCTTCTGCACCCCTCCAGCACGCCTCCAAAACGGCTGTGCGACTGCGTCCTTCCAGGAACCCTTGGCTAACCAACTCACCTGGCAATCGGTTCTGGATGGGCTGGTAGGGCTACGCGAAGCGTCACGACTTTTGCTGCGCTCTGCCGCCTGCGGCGTACGGCGTGCGAGGCCGAGTGCTGTTGTCTGTGCTCTGCTGGTCGGCCCTGACCTCAGCGCGATTTCCTCTTCTTGCTGCTCTCAGCGGAGCTCACGGCCTCAACTATCTGCGGCAACATGTTTTTGAATACTCCATCTTTCTCGGCGAGGCGCTTGAACTTCCTGATGTTCGCAACAGTCGTGCCGCGCTCTGCCGAATCGTTGCTCTGGGCGTCCATCGCCACGAGCTCGAGCAGGATCAAGCCCTCCCAGCGGGTCTTCTTCCCGATGAGCAGCGCTCTGTTGGCTCTCGACACCAAGTCAGCGTTCGGCTCCCGCCCGAACTTCTCGCAGAGGGCCTTGGCACTGGTGAGGGCGCCCTCCACCGTGCCGATGGCCGCCTCCAGCTCCAACGCTTTGAACTCCGCGAGGAAGTCGGTCTTCCCGACGGCCTTCACCTCCTCGATTGTCTTGTCGGAGAGGTCCCTCGCCCAGTCGGTGCCGTCGTCCACACCTTGGCCGATGTTCTCCAGCTTGCTCGAGGCCAGCGCTAGCTGGAGCTCCCTGTCGCTGCTGTCGCAGGTTACCGCCGCCACCTCGCTGACAATCCCCTTTGTGTCCTCAACCACCTTCCCGATGTCAGCCACGCTGTTGCTGCCAACTGCGTTGACAGCCTTCTCCAGGGCGACGGTCGCGGACAGCACGTCCAAGATCGCTCCAAGGCCAACGTCCGCGGCGATCCGAGCCTCAACGGCCCCCCCCAACTGCATCCACGACTGCTTCGCCGCCGACACCGCCGACAGCTTTGCCCACAAGTCCTCGAAAGCGTCGGCGGCCCTGCACTCCGCCTGATCGAGGACCATGCTCTTCAGGGAGACTGCGAGGGCGCTCAAGTTCCCCATGAACGCAGGCGAGTACATGTGGTAATGCGCCAACCTCGCATCATTCAGACACTTGATGCCCCGCACCGCGTCCGAGGCCTGGTCATCGTTGATGGTGAGCTGCGAGTTGACGAAGTCGTTGATGGCCGCAGCCGTCTGGTCGATGATCGGCTTGAACTCCACCTCGCCTTGGGACGCCCTCAACAAGTTGCCGAGTGCATCGGCAGCTGCGTCGGCGATCGCAGTCTTACCGGCTTGCTCGAGGAACGCACTTCCTAGCTCCATCGCCTTCGTAATGACACCACTGTGCCCAGGGAAGTGCGGACACGCGGCCCGCAGGAACTCCATGAGCTGCCCAGCGACTGCGATGCATCCGACGTCGCCCGAAAGGATGTGCCGCACGCTGCCCTCGGAAAGGTGCCGTTCCAGGGCCGTGCCGAACGTGTTGAAGGCATGCGCCGTCGCATCAGGGATGCCGATCTCGATCTTCGCCTTCATCAGCATGTCCAGCCACTTATGAAGCTGCTGCGGCGGGTGGGTCTTTGTCTCGTCTACAATGGCCTCACACATCGTCATAATGCGCTCGGAGTGCTGCTGGGCCGCCCTGGAACTCTTCTTGATCTCTTCGAGCTTGGCGGTGTAGGCGGGGAGCTTATCCATGGCGTCGATCACGGCGCGCCTCGTATCGTTGACCGCGAGGCCACCCGCCTTCGCAGCCCTCAGCGTGTCGGCCACGTCGTCGTAAAACTCTAAGTGCGAACAGTCGAAGACACAGATGAGGCACCTGAGTGGCTTGAGGGACTCCTGGAGGCAGCTGTGGTACGAGGGGTCAGAGTCGACGTCGAGGTCGGTGAGAATATCCTCTAGCTGGATGGCCGCGGCGACTGCCTGTGAGTTCGGCTTCCCCTCTGCAAGCCTGACCAACGCCTTCAGGATCCTGCTGAACGCGCCCCGCCAGCGAGACACAACCTCATCGGGTGAACCGACGATCGCATGCATCTCGGGCTGCAGGGGGTCGAACTCAAACGTGGCGGAGAAATCGGCTGGAACGAACGACGCGATGACCATGGCTTCCTTGATATGTGCCAACATGGAGCTCGACTGGGTGATGTCTTCCAGCGCGCGAAAAGCAACTGCGACCTGCCACTCGATCGGGAACTCGACCTTCGCCTTGACCACTGCCTCGATGTCCTGGATGCGCTCCTCCCGATTGCCGTAGCACGGGAGGCTGTTGAGGGAGACGGCCCTGCACCGCGCCATCAACGCGAGGTGCTTCTGGATGTGAGTGGCAATCGAGTCGCTGGGGTCAGCGTCAGCCCGTTTTTTGTGCAACTCCCTGGCCCACCTCTCGCTGACCTTCGTGCACTGGTCCATCAAGGCCTCGATGGGGTCGCACTTCACCAGCTTCTCGAGCGCTGCCTTCTCCTCGGCATCGTTCGTGTCCCACGTGACCCCGTAGTACTCGTACTTGCCGTCCTGCGGCACGCGTTGCAGGACAGACATGCCGCCAGAAGGCGACCTCTTCGGAGCAGGGCTCCGGACCGACGCCCCGACGGCGGAGGCAGCCTTGATGGACCTGGGCGGGGATGGCTGCGGATACCGCGGCGCCGAGGAAGCAGCAGCGCCCGCGGCAGACGGTGCTGCAAGCGTGGGCGCAGGATTGCCCGCAGCCTCATCAATGCAAGGGTCAGCCGCATCTGGGTCATCCTCCTCTTCTCCCTCCTCACCTTCTGCGTCCAAATCATCGTCTGCAGGGCCACCGTCGCCGTCGTCTGGCGGAACGTCATCACCCCCCAAGTCGAGCTTGGCGATGGTCGTGTTCCGCAGCCTCCTGACGAACGCAGAAGTCCACTGCCGCTTGGCCCTCTTGAAAGCGTTGGCGCCCTGTTGCTTGTACATCTGGCTCGAGTGGAGCATATTGAACGTGTCTTTCGAGACGATGTGCTCTTTCACCAGCTCGTATCTGACGCCCTTGACCTTGGTCAGTGCCCCTGGGTGCGCGGCCCGCAGGTCAGCAGAAGGCAGCAGCGTCTGCGTCAGCTTCAGCTCCTTGAAGCTCTTCCCCGACTCGGATTCGATGGTCGACTTCAGGTGGCCATCCCAAGTCTCGATGATTCTGAGCTTGTGCGATTCCTGTCCAACTACCTGCTCAGTCTCCATCGTCTTCTCACCGAGGTGCTTCTGGATCCTGATGGTGTTGACCTTACTGAACAGCTGATCGCTGGACGGCTCTGTGTTGCATTTCTGAATGACCTCCTCGAGCGTCCCCTCGCCGTCGAAGTTGCCCCACGCAAAGGTGGCATGGCACTCGGCGCAGGCAGCCTTGCCACTGAGCATCACCTCCTTGCACGCGTTCCTGGAGCAACTGACCTTCTTATTGGGACCTCGCCTCCTGGTGGCCCCATCTCCTGCCGCGGTGGACGCGCCTGCCAGGCTGACTGCCTTGGAGGCAGACGGCGCAGTCGACACCTTCGTAATCGTCTTCTGGGCGGGGGTGTGTGCTGCCGCGTGCGCAGCCAGCGCCCCAGGTGTCAAGCGCGGCGGCTTGGCGCCCCGCCTCGATGACATGGCGAGACACAGACTGAGGAGAAAGCAAAAAGCGCAGGTTCGTAAACTGACCGTGGGCAATGGCATCTCAAGACAGCACGGCCACTTGCCGCAATGCTGATACAAAACGGCGGCACAACAATTGCACATACTATCGCTGATGGCCTCCTGGGGCCGACGAGTCGAAGTCTTAGGTTTAAGCGACTCGTCAACAGCAATATGGTTTTGACGGAAGCCTCAACCCAAGACGGCCCACATGACCCCCAAGATGGTACCATGACGGCCCATGAGGCCACCAATCCAAGAGGGTCCCAAGATGGCCCGAGAGGGCCCCAAGACGGCCCAAGATGACCCCAAGAGATCCCCAAGAGATCCCCAATATGGCCCCAAGATGGCCCCAAGAGGGTCCCAAGATGGCCCCAAGAGATCCCCAGTCCCCATCCACTTCCCCGATCCAGGCATGTGTGTGCGTGCGAGCGTGTGCGTGCGCGTGTTAGCGTGTGCGCGTGTGTGCGTGTGTGTGTGTGCAGTGTCTGAATTCTGTGCCCATGAAGAAGGATGAGGGGGCTGGAGGTGCGTCGAGCGTCCCCGAATTGCGGCTAGCACAGCATCGAAATAGGAGGCGGAGTGGAAAGAGTGATAGACATGTTGGCGCGGAGGGAAGTATGGCCAAGTATGAAGGGCCTGGAGGGTGGCTAAAGGAATAAACGATGAGGAGCCACACAGGTTTGGATTTTCGAACGTTCGAGCCCCGAGTGCAAGCCGATGCCAGCCGATCCATGGCGGGCCAGCTGCCAAACTGCAGCGGATATTCACTTGAGCTGCGGCCAAGAAAAACTAGAAGCCAGCAGCCCGCGCCGAATATACTAAAACAGCCGATGCGATGCGGCTGCGAGGAGAGGCCTCTTCGGAAATCGCACGTGGCGCGCGATGGCGAGAGTTGCTGGCTGGGCGCCCCCGAAGGCCTATTAGCTTAGCTGCGACTTGCAAGCTGGCCAAACTCAGCTGGAACTGACTGCGGAGATAATCGATGGCGAGGACTGCCCACTCGGCACGTCCGCATCGCTCAGCACGGAGGAAGCAGGGAGCGACGGGCTCTGCAGCGGGAGTCCGAGCCAGGCCCTGGACACAGGCGTGCACGGCGCTATGTCCATGTCAGGGCGGAGCACGCCGTTCGGGAGGGTGATCACCGTCGGCGTCACGTCCTTCGTCTTCAGAACCTCCCTCACCCACTGGGCCTTGAAAGTGACCTCGGGCTTCACCAGGCGGACGTTGTCACTGTGCACCTTCATCGCCTTGGCGCTGGACTTGAGGACCTTCGCCTCGTCCTTGCTGGTGGCGCCAATTGACTGCTCCACCATGTTGATGGTGAGGAAGTTCGGGAGGATGACCTTGCCGTGGCTGGCCTGCAGGACCCTCGCCACGGCACTCGGCAGCTCGTCGATCATCCCCGCCGCCACTGAGTTGTGCACGCCGAGCTTCTGGGCCAGCTCCTGCGCCAAGAGCTTGCCGTAGTTGCGCGGCGCGGCCTTCGCCCTGGGCTGCAGCGGCGGGGCCGCGGGCGCGGGGCCATCCGCCGAGCCTGGCGGGCCCTGGGAGTCGACGGGCGGCGGGTCCGCGGCTCCGCCGTGGCCGCCGAGCTCAGCCTGCGAGGAGCCCGCGGCGACGGGGCCCACAGCGCCCCGAGGGGAGCTCGCCATGTCGAAGTCGTTGCTGTCGGACACGGCAACCATCACCCTGTTGTACTCGTTCTTGTCCATGGCCGCCTGCATGGCGCCTGCTCGCGAGCCCGAAAGCCCGATGTCTGAAAGTCGGATGGCGCAAACGCACCTCGCAACAGATGGGCCGCCACGCCCTGCCAGCCTCGGCGAATTGAGCCTAAATGGCAACGGCGAGGTCGGGGCTGGGCCCGAGATCAGATAGAAAGGGGAGGCGCGCTCTGCCCCTCCGACGTCGGGGCCTCGGGGCAGGGCTGACCCCTTCGGGGAACGGGCCCGCGGGGGGCGCGATCCGGCATCCGCCGAGGCGCAGGCCACGCGGAGGCGGAGGGGGGAGATTGATGTTGCATAGTGAGGGGGCGGGGCGAAGACGGCCAAACATTTCTGCCGCGATTGCCCTCATCGCTCGCGCCTGCGCTACCCCCGCCCCGCTGCTACCAGTCGGCCAGGGTGGGGGGTGGGGAACGCGCTATTCCCCGAACAGTGCCTGCACGCATGCATGCATGTTGGCCTCCGAACGACGCTTGCAACTTGCACTTAGCCTGCCCCCGCGCCCTGGCTCACCGCAAACAGCGCTTGCACTGAGGCATGGTTTCCCGACCGAGCAATGCCTCCACATATGGCATATGGTTGCACGCATGCCCGCACGCAGGCCGCCACATTCCCATACAGTGCTTGCAGCTGGCGCGCTGGTGCAGGGATCGACGCTAGGAGAGCCCCCATGGGAGCGTCTGCGAAGCTCTTCATCCCTCCCCTCTCCTCCACATGCCCTTGCCAGTCCCCCCCCCGTCCTGCGCCTCCCCCTCCTCGCACCTCCCCCTCTCGCTCCCTCTACCCTAAGACGGCCCCGCGAGGCCTCAAAGACAAGCGGCCTCGTCGCTACCGCGATCGGTCCACCGCGCCCAAGCCCAGCCCACGGGGCCATGACGATAACTCGTAAGGTAGTACTGCCCCCTGGCAACACTCTCAGATTGCAGGTGCGTATCTCTGGGACGCACCGTCGAATCGAAACCCCCAGCTACCCGACCCACTTGGGGCAACGACGCTGCAAACATGAATCGCAACAGATGCTGGGGCGCACGAGGGGCCCCATGGCGGGGGTCAGAGAGGAGGGGGCACAGGAGAGAGTCTGCACAGACATTGTTGTGATTATTGTTGTTACTAGCGGTCTTGTTCTTAACTAATCCCCTGACTCGTTCTGGTTATTGTTATTGTTATTGCATTGTTCTTGTGATTTGTAGTGCTGCTATGCTGTGGTTGCTTTGCTATTGCTGTTAGGGCACACCGTTGTTTGTTCTTTTCAAGACCAGAGAGCCCGCCAGCAATCAGGCGGCGCCGTCTCCGCGCTCGTCTGGCGCGCCGCCGCCCCGAGGCGGGGCGTCGCCTGCTGCGGCGCCCACAGGGCTCGGACCGAGAAAACGCAAGGCATTGGTCCGATCCCCCGCGCATCCAAACGATGCGCTGACTGATGAAGGCGCCTCGCCCAGCAGTCGCGGGTAACCCGCCTCTGCTGAGCTGCGCCCTCTCGCTGGAAACGGCGGGCGCAGTCGTGGCAGACCGACTGCTGAGGCGGGCCGCGACCATGAGGGTCGGCCCTGCCAGCGAAGCCAGAGTCGCCGCGCTGGCCTTGAGCGCCGCCTGGACGCGTTGCCTCAAAGAACCGAAGTCGAGCGGCGAAGCCGCGCTCGCATTGCAACCTGCTCTGGTGGCCACGCACTGCACCGACGATGAATGGATCCACCCGTTCCCCCCCATGACTATCCATCCTAGCCTAATGTCCCCAGTGTGCGGCGCGGGGTGACGGGTCCACTCCACCCCGCCCCACCCCGCTAGATACGAGAAATCATGAGGCTGCGACGCTGCAGCGGTCCGCTGTGTGACGGCACACGATTGCCGTCCTGCGCCTTGCGCAAGGCAATGGGCAGGTTCGCTTAAAAAAAAACAACGAACATCGAGAGCCGCTGAGGCCACGGAATGCCCACTCATGTTAACTGAACCTCAAATGCACCCGTTTAGTTTTAGTTCAGTTCGGTCCCAGACAGTTCCAGTTGAATGGGGCCCCAAACATCTTGCGCGTTGCATGACATTTACGCGTCCCCACAATTGCGGACCTGAACGGGGGGGGTGGGCAAGCGGGCTGCTAAAGGAACATTGCGCGTTCAGCCCCCTCCGTGCCTGGTCGGGCGCGAGTCGCCCGGCCCCCTCAGTGTTAGGTGGGGGGTGAGTCGTTCGGGCCCCTCCGTGTTCAGTCGGAAGTGAGCCATTCGGCCCCCGATAACCCGACCATACATTAAGTTGAGGTGATTGGACCCATCGCAAAAATGATTCCGATAGTTCCGTCGTAAGTTACTTTGAGTTAGGACAATCGCGCACATTAGTTAACTCGGCCTTGTATGCGTATCGGCTTGGGCACGGGCCGTATTTTGCGCGATGTCAGCCTGGGACACGTCGGACATCGGCGTGGGCCCCCATTGGGCGCAGTTGATGGCGTTGGCGTGTTTTCCTGTGGGTTGGCTATCGGTTGGCGGCCCATTGGGACACAAGTTTCCAACCATTGGGGCATCTGCCTGGGCATGCTTGTAAGTATGGGCGTAGCCCGAATTTGTTTCTCGCCAAGTAAACGGACTGCACTGACCCAACCGAACTGACTGAACTGACGGGTCGCATCGGTTAGGGGGCGTTTTATTCTCGGCGGCCGAGAACGCCAATTATGGCGCACCCAATAAGGGGGGTGCGTTTCACTTTCGGCGACCGAGGGCGCAACCAATCGGAGGACGTTGAGGTATCCGCGGCCGAGGGCGCAACCTATGGCGCAGCCAATCGGATGACGTTTAAGTATCCGCGGCCGAGGGCGCAACCTATGGCGCAACCCAAGGGGGGCGTTGAACTCTCGGCGGCCGAGGGCACAACCTATGGCACAACCTTAGGAGGACGTTTAATTCTTGGCGGCCGAGGACGCAACCTATGTCGCAACCACGTGGGAGGGCGTTGTCCTCTGCTGTCGAAGGCACAACCTATGGTGCAACAAATAGGAGGACATGGTATTCTCGGCTTCCGCGCGCGCAACCTTGGGCGCAACCAATGGGGTGGTGTGTGAAGGGTGGGTGGGGGGGGGGGGGCGTTTCATATCGGCGGCCAAGGGCGCAACCAACACGAGGGCGTTGGTTTTCTCGGCGGCCGCGGGCGCAACCGACGGCGCAACCAATGGGGGCGCCATTCTCCTCGGCGGCCGAAAGCGCGGCCGATGGCCCAACCCCTGCGCTTCATCTCCCGCGGCCGAAAGCGCAACCTATGGCGCAACCAAGAGGGCGTTTGATTCTCGGCTGCCGATGGCGCAGCGCATGGCGCAACCGCTCGATGGGCGTTTTGTTCTCGGCGGCCGAGGGCGCAACATATGGCGCAATCACTCGGAGGACGTTTGATTCTCGGCGGCCGAGGGCGCAACCCGCGGCCCAATCAACAAGAGGACGTTTAAGCCTCGGCGGCCGATGGCGCAAACATGTGGAGCAACCAATGGGGTCGGGGGCGTTTAAGCCTCGTCGGCCGAGGGTGTAAATCATAGCGAAACAAGTCTGAAGCAGTTGCATCTTCGGCGGTTCAAGGCGCAACCCATGGCGCAGCCGATGGCGACGACGCCGAGGAGCAGCACCGCCACCGCGACGGCACTCGGGGCGACGACGACTTCGCTGACGGTGCCCAGACTGGCTGCACATCGGCATGCGGGCGGCGCCGCGCCCGATGCACGCTCGCCATTTGGGCTGGCCGCGGGGCCCGAGCTGTCCTGCGATGGCGCGCGCGCGTTCAGGTGCCCCCCCCCACCCCCCCCACCCCCCAAAAAAAAAAAGATGCCACACGGTGCCATCTGGGATATCGGCTCGAGGCCCGTGGGATACCGCTGTGGGGCTGTAGGTAGGAACTTTGAGCTTTCTCGGCGTAGGTTCGCACGTGTCGGATATCGCCTGGTGGCCCGATGGACGCCCGAGCATCGGCTGGCTCCTCGTGCGCAAAATCGGAAGGCGCATATGATGGTGGATGCGTTGGTTTTCCCGCGGCTGTTGGGACGCTTCCGTTGTATCCGATCGGGGCAATCTGACGACAAGTTCGGGGCTCGTCGGATGTCGGAGGGGGGGGGGGGGGGGGGGGGGGGGGGGGGGGGGCGCTTGGAGATCGGATGGGGGTGTCGGGTGTCTCGGCCGAGAGATCTGGTGATATCGGTTGGGCTATCGACTGGGCAATGATTGGCCATCGGGGGGAAGTTCAAATAGCAGGCCGATGCGCTCGGCATGCCGCCTTCCTGTTTTGACGCCGCTTCGGGGCGCGCGGGGGGGCGGGGGGGAGACTCTGGGGGCGCCCGCGTGCCCGCCTGGAGTTCCTGGCGGGCCCGTCGGCGCCTCGGCGGCACGCGCGCCCCCGCCCGCCAACAACAAAACAGCGCAGTGGCGGAGGCGCGCGGCCGCATATCTCCCCGCCAGCTGGCCGCGCCCGAACACCCATCCACCCGCGCCCACCCGCCCCCGAAATTCGCCGCGACGGCTGCCCCCCTCGCACCCCCCCCCCCCCCCCCCCAATCCATCCGCATTGGCGATCGACGGAGCGACGGGTGCCCGCCCTGAAATTTCACGACCAGCAGCAGAAGGGTCGCCCCCCCACCCTCACCCCCCAGCGCGCGCAATCCAAGGCGCTGGCGGCGCTGGGTCGCAGATGCGCAGCCGCGCTTCCCGCGAGAGACCCAGCGCGAAGCTATGCGCGGTCGCGCTGGGGCGGGCGGGCGAGGGGGGGGGGGCGCGGAACCTGGGCCGCGGCGGGCGCCGCTCGCCGAGGGGTCGCGCAACGCAGTGGGCGATCGGGCGAGCGCGTGGCGACCGCGCGGCGGCCGCCAGGCAGGCCGCCGCAGCGGGCATCGGACGCCACGCGCCGCGTCGCCATTCACGATGGTGCGGCGCTGCACGAGCCCGCCCCCGATGAGCCAATGCGCGCCGCCGCCCAGCTGCGCCCGCTGCGCCGCCGCTGCCCACGCGCCGCGGGAGCATTCGCGAACGATGGCGCGCGGCAGGCGCCGAACGACGCGGGGTCGCGCGAGCGCCGCCGCGGCCGACGCGCTGGGCCGCGGGCGCGGAGCGCGACAAGCCGCGCGCAATTGCCCGCGGGCAGCTCGCGCGCCCAAGCTCGGGACGCCGCGGCGAAGGATTTGGCGCCCTGCGCGATGGCGCGCGAGGGCGGCAGGGAGGCGCCCGTCGGGGATGCAACCGCGCGCGGCGCGACCGCGCCGAAACTGACGGCGGCCAGGCGCGCCGCGCTCGGCGAAGGAGGTGAGGGGGGGGTGGTCGCGGGGAAGGGCGGAGGGGGGGAGGTGCGTAGCGCGCACGGCGCTGGCGGGCGATGGCGAGGGGGGGGGGGGTCGCGCGCGCAGTGGAGGAGGGCGTGAGGGGGGGGGGACTTAGCGCGCGCGGGAGAGGTCGCGGGGTACTTAGCGCGTTCGCGCGACAAGTATTGCACAGCGCATTCAGTGCATCGGGCGTAGTGCGCCACGCGTAGTGCACAGCGTGATCGACCCCTCGGGTGCAGCGCGGGGCGGTATAGTTTGCTACGCCGACCCATACGCATCGCCCTTCTGCACGTATAGTTGTTGTATAGTGTTTGTAGTTTTTTAGTTGTTATGTATAATGCTTTACAGGTTTAAAGCATAGCGGAACAAATTTACTCAGATTGTATTATTAACTTTGTTTTGTTTTTTAAATAAATAAGAAATACTAGCAATTTGTTCAGACCCTCCCTCGCGAACATGCATAGAACAACTACCTGAAAACTATACCCTTGTTTTTGAAAGCGCATGGTCCGGTTTCGGGGCACTACGCCCGCGGGCTGCGCGCCTCCTGCCCGATGCGGCGAGCCGTTCGACGTCCTCGCTCAGGAAGTGTCCGTGCACCCAAGGGCGCCATCGGCGTGCGCTGGGGCGCCGTGGCCTATCGCGCGGCCAGTGCGCTGCCCGAGGCTGGGGGGCGCAGGCGCCCCGCCCGCGGCCAATCTTCGCGGGGCCCGCGCGCCCGAGTGCCCGTGGCCGCGCGGAGGCCGCGCGGCGCTGACGCTGGCAAATGGCGCCAGCGACGCAGCGCGACTGGCGGCCGCGCGCGGCACGGCCGCGCGCGCCAAGAAGCGCCACTCCGATTCCGCGCGCGCACCCCTTGATTGTCTCAATCACAAGGCGGCCCGCAGCTGGGGCCCCGCGGCCAGCCCAAACGGCGAGCGCAAATCGGGCGTAGCCCCGTCGAGAAAAAAACGCCCGCCTAACAAGTGCGGCGAGACAGCTCAGTCAGTGCAGCCCCGTCGGCTCAGGCAGTTTACTTCGCAAGAAACGAATCCGGGATACGCCCGAAAACGTTGCTTCATACTGTATTCGGAATGCGTTCAGCATGGCTTGCAAAGCTCGCATTACTGCGTTGATGAGTTATGCAGCATGCGTCGATAATGCAGTAGCAATGTTTCCAATGCGCCTTACGGGGCAATGTCCCCGCAAATTCTTCATCCTGTCTTCAGCGATGATGTCATGGAGGTTCGCCCGCCCCCGCCAAGGGCGACAGCCGTTTATATTAGCAAAGGGCTAGCGCATGCTCGCGAAGCGATCGCGCACATGAGCGAACGCTTGTCTTATCTCCTGCCGCACCACCCACCTGGCTTGTTAATGGTGGCAGCGCTTGCGCCCTTGCCCTCGCCCCGCGAAGCGGAGGGGGTGATCGCGCCCGCTCCAGGGGCAGCTGGCATCGCATAAACCGCACTCCATGGGTTGCACTACGCAGCTTGCAGGAGCGATCCAAGGAAAGTGCCCGAGGGTGGGGATGGAGCCCAGGATGAACAACAAGGTTTGAGGGGGGGGGGCGGGGGCTCGGCCTCCGAGAGTGCCCAAGGACATCTTCCAGGACCCATGCCCAGGGCTGCTCAATATTGCCACGTATAGCCGTGCAGCCCTCGCCGTCTACAGCCCTCACAACTGATCGAAATCCAATGCCAGTTGAACCCCCGCGGGCCAACAAAGCCACGTAACCGCATGACCCGATCGCCCTTTATATCCGATAGCACCATAACAGCATAGCCCATGCAGCCACAAGGGCCACTACACCAAACAAGGCAACCTAACAATTACATAGAACTTCGAAAACACCTAGAACCCCGATAACCCCATATACCCCATCGTCCCTTATAAACGAACTGACTGCGGTAACACATCGTGACCACCCGAACTCCTAGAACCCCTGCGGCCGCTAGGGCCCATAGAAACCTTCATGTCACCTGTCGCTCCCGCCGCCCCCCCCCCCCCTCCCCCCCGTGACCTTGCGGCCGTTAGAACCCGCAGGGCACCCAGGGCCCCGCATAACAACACGTGGCTTTGAAAACCAGCACGCACCCCCCCCCCCCCCCCCCCCCCCCCCCCCCCCCTCCCCCCCCCCCCCCCCCCCCCGCCCCCCCCCCCCCCCCCGCCCCCCCCCCCCCCCCCCTGCCCTCCCCTTTCACCCCCCCCTCCCCCCCCCCCCCCCGGCCCCCTCTTCTACCCCCCTCCCCCCCTGTATTCCCCCCAAGCCCCTTCCCTCCCCCTGTCCCCACCTCTTTACCTGTATAACTGATCCGACGAGATGCCTCCAAACCCGAGGCCCTTTTGCGCGCTGTAGTGGCCCACAGGGCAGCCCCCCAGACGCTTGCGAACTTTCGACTATGACCCCTAAGTCAACCGAGGCCCCTCGAGGCGCATGCGGCCCAAACGACGCGCCAAGGCGCCCCCGCCCCCTAGACGCTTCAAACGCGCCCGCTCCTAAGCCCCGAGGCACCCCAGACAATCCATGATCGCCCATGCGCGTTGGTGTAGCCCTGCCGCTGGCTGCTTCGGGGCCCCGGCACCATTCCCCCCCCCCCCCCCCCCTTTTCCAACCCCCCTCCCCCCATGCTTCGAGAGAGGGCGACTGCGCCCGCCCCAGGAGCGCACCTGGCGCGCCATGAGCTGCGTCGCTGGCATTCCTGGGGCCGCCGCACCCGCCCGCGAAGCAGGAGAGGGCGGGCGCGCCCGCGTCGGGGGAAAACTTGGCGCGCGCGGAGTTGCAGCGCTGGCGCCCCTGCCCCCGCCCAGCGGAGCGGGCGAGGACGAGCGCGCCAACCCCAGGGGCAGCTAGCGCCACATAAATCGCGCTCCATAGATTGCGCTGCATTTGTTTCAGGAGCGGCCCGAGAAAGGGCCTCGACACCCAAGATTACCCATGGTGGCCTTCATCGTAGCCCAAGGCGGCCTAGCGCGCCCAAGGCGTCTTGACACGCACTCTGGGAAGGAGCCCCCTGTTGATGGTGATGTCGTTGATGCTGGTGTTGGCGATGATGGTCGTGGTGGTGAGAATGCTTCTTTCCCGATCTGGAAAAGCAACTGCCCATCGGACCGAGCAGTCGGAACGATCCCGGGACGGTCCTCACGCGCAGGATTTGAAACGCAGGTAGTCTCGACTGGAAGACCATAGCGGCATCGCATCGGTAGCTGATGCAACCGAGGCCAGCTGACCGTGCCTCGCCCACCCAGGTCGGCACCGTAGGAAAACATGGCAGTATGCCGACGACGTTGACATAGCACGGCGTCCCACACGACTTCACCGAAACCGTCTTCTACGTCGGCATCCATCCCCGATCCGTCCTCATCGCTATTGTCCTCGCCGCAGTCCGTATCCAAATTGCCTTCGTTTTCGAAAGCCACTGTGTACGACGTCTTCAGACGGCGCGCGGGCCGCGAGAGTTGGGGGCCAGCCTCCATGGACCGAAACACGCAGGCGATCACCTCTGGCATGCTCTCGATGTCATGGTTGGCCACCTGGTTATCCGCGACCTGCTTGCGCTACAAGGTCATGCCCACATCTGCTCCTCATGCGGTGGCCGAAGAGGCTCGGCGGCGCCGACGGCGCTGTCGCCGACGGCGTCGGCCGCGTGGGTGGGAGACGCGGGGGGGAGGGGGGGGGGGGGGCCTGGTGCCGCGCTGGGCCCCTGTGCGCTATACGTCCTCGGCGCGGGCACCGCCGCCGCCGCCGCCGCCCTCCGATGCGACCCCGCACATCTGGTATGGAAGGGGGGTTGGCTGGCGCGGAATGTCGACCTGCAACGGGAAGACTCGGGCCGAACTGGACACGGCCGAACTCGACGGTGCGCTCGGCCCCCATGCTAAGTGTTTGGGGCCCTTCGTGAGGCGCTTTGTTGTCATGGCTCGTTGGGGCCCACGCTGTCAGTTAGTGCGTGCGATATGGATGCATGGCTATTATGAATTATGTCAGTTCCCAGGCCCACATGGCTACGTTTTTGCAGCGGGTAGCATTGAACCCTTATCGGGCCTCCGAAATGCCGCTTGGCTTCCAGCAGCCCGAACCCGTTTATCCGAGCACCTTTGTTTGGGCGCCAACCAGTTAGATGCGGCGACCCCTTACATGGTGACCAAGTGCGTTTCCATGTTAACTGCTGGTTGGGCGCATGTTTCGATGGTGGGCGGCGTAGAACTCCGCTCGCTCGCGCGGGATTCTGCAGCGCACACCGTTGAAGGCCGCCGCGTTGGCATGCACAGAAAACAAATCGTTCGCGGAGGCTGGCTGACGCGCGGGGGTGGCGCGCGCCACCCGCGCGCGCGGGGAGTGCTGCATTGACCAAGAGAAACGTCATGCTGAAATTATTAGATAGCACGTGCGCGCCCGTCCATCACCCGCACGAAACGAAGTGGCGCGCGCCGCCGCCCGCCGAAGACGCACGCGGCCCCTTGAGGACGCCCGCGGGGCACCGCGCGCTCAGAACGCAGAAGAGGCCAACGCATGGAAGCGCGCAAAGGCCCGCCAGAAACAACACAAACCCCATGTGAGCTCACTGTCCTGGGATAGGGCCCACTGGAATCCGCCGCGCGTAGATTGCGAACCTGCGAAGTTCCCCTGGGGCCAGTCAGTGGGCCCAGCATGGATTTGACGCGCGCAATGAACTCATCCTTGGGAAGGGCCCAACCACGTGCAGTTGCGAGTTCAGTAATTGTGCCTACCCCTGCGGCGACGGATTTTTTGCGGGGCCACGAAACGAGCGAAGGGTGTGCCGAAACTGGCGGCGGCGCCATGCGAACTTCTAATTGGCGGCATTGGGTTGAGCTCCCTATGGGGCCACGTCGGGCGTGAGGGGTGCGCCGAAATGGGGCGGCGGTGCCATGCGAACTTTCCAACTGGCGCCTTCGGCTGGGTTCCCTATGGCGCCACGGAGCGCGTGAGGCGTGTGCCGACATGGGGCGGCGGTGCCATGCGAACTTCACCAGCGCGGCATTAGGTGGAGCTCCGTATGGGGCCGCGAAGCGTATGGTGGGCGCGCCGAAATGGGACGGCGGTGCCGTGCAATTTTTCCGCTGGTGCTTTAGATGGGGCCCCCATGGGGCCGCGAAGCGTGCGAGGGGAGTGCCGACATCGCTCGGCAGCGTCATGCGACCTTTTCCCACTTGGGCCTTCGGTGGGGCTCCCTATGGGGCCACGAAGCGCGCGAGGGGCGTGCCGCAATGCGGCGGCGGCGGTTTTTAGGTTTTGCACATGCTGAATCCCCCCCCGCTGGCGGCCGCAATGTTGCGGCCCCCCCACCCCCCACAATGGGGCGCGAAAGCCCAGAAGCGTTTGCGAGGGGCGTGCCGTAATCGGGGCGGGCGGCAGTTTCGTTGCGAATTTCCCACCGGTTGGGTCGGCCCTTAGGCTTGGCGGGCTCCTTCCCATGGGGCCGCCGAACCCGCGCGGGAGGGGCGCGCCGAAGTGGTGCGGCTGTGCCGCGCAACTTTCGAGCTCCACGTGGCGGGCCTTCAGCGCACCCGTGGCCCCCCACCCTATGGCGCCCCTGCGACACTGCCCCAGCGCGGGGGGACAGAGAAGGTGAGGCCCGGCGGCGACCCCCCCCCGTGCTACCTTCATTGCCCACTGGGGCACTTCGGCGGACCTTCGGCGGAGCCCCCACTGGGGCCGCGAAGCGCGTGAGGGGCGTGCCGAAATGACGCGGCTGTGCCACGCTGGTTTTCCCAGTGCGGCCGTGGGTGGGGACCCCTGAGGGGCCGCGGAACGCGCGTGGGGCGTGTCGAAGTGGAGCTGCTGCGCCATGCTAGCGTTCCCGGACTCCCCCCCGCCCTCGCCTTTCACCACCCCCGTCTCCCCTTTTCCCATCCCTCCCCAGCAAGCCCACATCAAACGACCCACAGCGGTCCCACAATCCCCCCCCTCCCCCCCGCCGGGCGGCGCGCGTCGTCTCTTCCTCCCCGACTTTGGGTGGACCCCTCCCCCTCTGTTCTCCCTTCTTTTCTCCTCTCCGTTTCCTACCTCCAGGTGGTTAGCAACGACCCACCCTGCCCCTGCTACCTCAGGGCCGGCGGCCACCCACTGCGGCCGTTATGCGGACGCCCCCCCCCTCCCCCCCCCCCCCCCTCGTCGGTCGGATGGGGGCGCGAAGCGTTTGAGGGGCACGCCGAAACAGACAGATACCCGCGGATTGCGCGGCGCGGGCAAGGATGGGAGGAGAGGAGGGGGGGGGGAGTGAGGAACGCGGGGCGCTGTCTCTTCAAAACGAGGGCCCGACTCCGCGGGATGGCTGGGAGGCTTCCCAACAAACGCTCTTACCGTCACTGTACGTCACAGTTGGCTCACACATGGCTCCTGGTGGATTCCAATTGGTATAAGTACCGCCAGCAAGAAACGCACCGCACGACGTCGCGCCCGATAAGGACGATCTGCGTGCTGGCTAGAACGATAAGACGACCGCGTCGTCCCAGCGTCGGCACCCGCACGCACGGGCCGCCCCCCGCGCGGGCCCCGCGCAACGCCCCGGAGCCGCGCCCCCGACGGGGAAAACGGTTTACGTGCACACGCGTGTCCGTGCTTTCCACAGAAGCTCCAAGTCCAAGCGGGTGCACCCGTTGCGTTTCGGGGCGGTTGGCGGCCGACTCGGCCACGGGTCTAGCTGGGAACCCACGACCCACGAACGAAAGCGCGGGTTTCACCTTGTGCGCGCGGCGAACATGTCGGGCCCATCCAGGGGCCAGGCAGGGCGTGGGGCCGTGCCCGCAGAGAGGCGATTGGGCTGGTTTCGGGCGTGCAACGGCGCGCGCGGCGCGGCGCCTCGCCCGGGCTATATGGGGCATTGGGCGCGTCGCGGCGCGCGCGGCGCAGCGCCTTCGATTTGCCATGATGGGGGCGCGCGCGTTCGTTGGCGCCCGCGGCGCGCGCCCCGCTCTGATCTCGGATCGGAAGCATCGGCTCGCCACCGCCGCCCAAACTCCGAAGATGCACGCTTGGAAGGGGTGGCGGGCAGACGCAAGTCGGAATCCCACCAGCCCTCTGGGCGTATGTGGTTTAGCGAGTGGTGCGTCTCTCTGCCAAAACCTCCTTCCCTTGTTCGGGGGGGGCGGGGGGGAGGGGGTGCACCACTCCCCCTACCCCCTGCCCTGGATCTGGGAGGGGGAGGGGGGAGGGGGCTCGACGCATTAGAGCGCCCAATATGACCCAAGGTTGCTCCAAGGGTGCCCCAGAAGATAGCCCAAGATGGCTTCCAAGATGGCCCAAGATAGCTCAAGGTGGCCCAAGATAGCTTTCGACGCACATCCAAGATGCTTCGAGACGGCCCTGGGAGGGTTTCCAATGTCTTTCGCGTCCTTCAATTGCCCTCCCAAGAGGCCCGCATGATTCCAAAACCTAGGGACAACCAATGCTGCTTGCCTTCTCGCACGTTCGCCCCCGACGTGCTCTCAAGGCGCCAATAAAGCCGCTGAACATTGTGCTGCCCACCAGGCGAATGAGCCCAAGGTGCCCCAAGGGGCTGGGCCCCCAAGGCGGCCCCCCCCCCCCACGCCGCCCCCCCCCCCCCCCCACACACAGAAACACCACCCCACCACGCACACACGGGCGCCCAAGAACGCCCCAAGAAAAGCTGCAACAGTCGGCCCCAATGCGCTTCTGTGGGTTTCCAAGGGGTGCGGTCCGAATTAACGCAGCCCTCTTGCGTTTCAGCCGCAGCCCCCAATATGGCCCGACGAGGCCCCCCGAGACGCCCAGAAAGAGCCCCAAGAGGGCCCAGGGGCCCACACAAAAACAAGCCCCAAGAGGGCCCACGAGGGCCCCAAAAAAACACCCAGAGCGCCCCACGGCGGCTACACAAGGCATCCGAGACAACGCTCCCGAGGCGGTTGTTGCACACCCTGCTGGCCACCAACACCGCCAGCACCAGCAGCAGCACCACCAGCACCACCAGCAACATCAGCACCACGCCAAACACCAGCAACAGCATCCGCAGCAACACCAACAGCAACGTCAGCAGCATCACCAGCAGCACGAGAACCAGCAACACCAGCCGCAACATCAGCAGCACCAGCAGCAGCAGCAGCATCAGCGATAGCCCAACCACGACCAGCAATAGCACCAGCAGCAGCATCAGCATCACCAGCAGCGCAAGCACAGCAGCAACAGCAGCACCACCAGCAGCAGCAACAGCACGAGCAGCAGCACCAGACGGATCGGTCCCGAGCTTGACCCATCGAGGTGACCGCGGGTTGGTCCCAAGTTTTACCCTCCGAGGTGACCACGGATCGGTCCTGAGCTTTACCCCCCGAGGTGACCACGGATCGGCCCCGAGTTGTACCACTCGAGGTGGCCACGGATCGGTCCCGAACGTTACCCCTCGAAGTGACCACGGACCCATCCCGAGCTTTACCACACGAAGTGGCTTCGATTCGGTCCCGAGCGTTACCCGCCGAGGTGACCACAGATCCGTCCCGAGCTTTTTACCCCTCGAGGTGACCTCGGATGGGCCCCGAGCTGTACCCCTCGAGGTGACCTTGGATCGGTCCCGAACTTTGCCCACCGATGTGCCAGGATGGCCCCAAGATGCGGGTGAAGCACCAGCAGCAACCAGACAGCACCGACAACAGCACCACCAGCATCACAAACATAACCAGCAACAGCACAAGCGGCACCCCAGCATAATGAGAAACCACGCAAGCCAGCCAGCAACACCAGCAGCGGCACCAGCAGCGGCGCCACCAGCACCATGAGCAACACCACCAGCACCACCGCCAGCAGAAGCACCGCCAATCTGCGCTTCCAGGGCTCTCCCACTGTACTGCTGTGGCCCGTGATACCGCCGTGGCATGGGAAACTATATTAAGTCACAAACTGTATGTTCCAGCTGGTTTTGCGCCCCTTCAGCGCGCCTCCGAAACGGCTGTGTGACTGCGTCCTTCCAAGAATCATTGGCTAACCAACTCACTTGGCAATCGTTTCTGGGTGGGCTGGTGGGGGCACGCGAAGCGTCAACATGTTTTGCCATGTCTCATGAGGGGCCCCTTGGGCCTTGGGGCAATATTGGAGGCCTCTTGGGATGTCCTTGTGGGGCACCCTGGCGGCCTCTCAGGCCGTCGCACGGCAACCCTGCGCCATTTTGGGTCTCGTTCGGGCCGTTCCCAGGCCCTCCTGAAGAACATCTTGGGTCGGATTGGCTGCGCCTGCGGCCGTATTGCGGCCAGATTGGGTTTTCGTGAGTACCGTGGGCCTTCATGGGCCGCTTGTCCTAGTCGAGCCGACGCTTCTCTGAGCCCGTCGGGCGTCACTAGTCAACTCCTGGTGCAATCACTGGTATGGTAATGCAGTTAGCAGCGCAAGCATTGATTGGGTGGTACAGCTAGCGGTCGCATAACTCGGACCCGCCGCAGCGCCTATATGGGCGCCGAGGCGTGTTGGACAGGCTCCGACGCCCCTCCCTGGCGGACCCAACGCCGACCCCAGACGCCCTGCAACGGCCTCAAGACGGCCCGCCGCGTCCCCAGACATGCCCCCACGACGGCCGTCACGGCCGCCACTCTGGCCCAGGAAGGCCGCGGCTCCCCCTGCCCCCACCCCGCACCCCCGAGGACGACACCTCTGCGGTGTAAGTCCCGCGGCGGGGGCGACGTCGGATCACCGTGAGGTGCAGATCAAAAAAACAATGGCGCCCAGCAGCCCTCTCGCGCAAATGCAACAGAAAATATCAACGTCAAGCAAACATCATACTTCACCAACGTGGCGTGAAACACATGTGTTTTCAAGGGCGTGTGGCACGCAACTCAGTACACGGATATGTTTATTTCTCTGGCTCGGACTCTTCGTCATCCCGTTGCTGGCGCTCCTGCTCGAAGATGTCCTCGGACCCTGCGAGCCCTCTGAGGATATCCCTGCCGTGCCTCCTGGTAGCATGATCGATCGTCTTATACAAGTTCTTGTGGTCCCAGGCGTCGCTGCACTCGTCAGCCGAGAGCAGCCAGGCCATGAGGTAGCCCAACGGCCTGCCTTGACCCTGCGCCCGCTTGGTCGCCCCCTTGCCACGGCGAGACACTCGGCACCGTCTCCCGTGTGCTTCGCACTCGCCGCAGTACGCATAGATCTCGTTGTTCTTATAGGCGACGATAGAGCCGCCTCCAAGATGACCAGGCAGCCTGAAACTACACACGGCCTGTTCTCGCAGGTGTGGCGGATGCTCGACGCCGAGGTCGGGGGGCTCGTCGGCGCCAGCGTCCTCCGACGAACTCGAACTCGCCGTAGACGAGCTGTCAGACGACAGCTGCTCTCGACTGCCGTCGGAGCCATCCACCGCGGCCTCGACGATGGCCTGCTCCTCCTCGACGCCCGAGGCCCCCACCTCGCCGCCGCCGCCGTCAGCAGAGCCGCCGCCCTCAGTGGCAGCGTCGCCCCCATCCGAGTCGCCCCCACCGCCATCGTCGGAGCTCTCGTCGCACGCGGCCTTGAAGCGGTCGGCCAGAGCGTGCCACTGGCTGATCCGTCGACGCCTCGGCGCGGCGGGGTCCCAGATGACATGCGTCTCGCCGTCGTGGACGGCTCTCCTGGGGGAAGGAAACGTGCGGAGTGGCTGACGCGCCCGTCCGCTCACCCCCTGACGGTGCTGACGCCTAGGGGGGCGTTCAGTTTTTCGAGTCGCGCCCAGCCGACGATGCACCGTGGACGGATTGATCGGCGGCGAGGGGTTGGACGGGCTACGCATGGGTAGTGCACAGCCAAGTTACCGAATGGAATTAGCAACGCCAGCCAGAGCGATGTCCTGGGCCATCGGGGGGCCCTGTCCAGAACCGCCCTCCGCCTCCAACGCCGCTGGATGCCATCGTCGGGCCGAGACCCCCAGGAACACTTCGAGCAAACCAAGAGTTGCGCCCTTCTCACGCCCGCTGAAAAAAAAGAGTCCGAACAGAAACACTGCCTCCCAGATGGCATCCAGACGCGCCCCGAGGCCCCGAGGAGGCCGTTGACCATCCGATACTCCCGCAAGACATCCCCACCATCGCCAGGACCCCAAACACTGACGGTGCAAGCACTGATTGGGGCATTCAGCGGCGTGTGGCGGTGAGAGAACCACCACTGCAAGCAGAGGGAAGGTGAGGGCGTGCCCCCCTGACATGCATTAACAGCCCGTGTTGTCCCCTTCTGCAGTCGGGGCTCCACGGCGCCCACGACGGTGTCGTTCTCGATCAGCTCGAAGTGCGCCAGCAGCCAGCGCTTCGACAAGCCGAAGATCTCGCAAGCAGCCCACGCATCAAGACTCCTAGGCAACGCCCCCAACTCCACCAAGCGTTCTCTGAGCTTCTGGTCGCCGTCCAAGTCGACGACGTACCCTGGCGTCCGCATGGGGACGTAGAAGGGCTCGAACGGGCTCCAGCTGTGAAAGCCGACGTGCATGAACGCGTAGAGGGCACCATCGTCGCACTCGGCAGCGGGGCCGCCATCCCCATCTTGCCGAACAGCCAAGCCGATGAAACAGCACACGATGAACCCTGAATCAACGTTGGACCGAAGAGCTCCAGGGCGGTATAAGCGCCGCGTGGTCTTCTCGAGGTTAGCCCTCAACTTTACCAGCGACGCCGACTCAGGGCAGCATATGCAACGGCGAGCCTCCCAGCACCTCCTGTGGACAGGTGGCTCGTCGAACACCTCGCAGTCCTTGTGCAATATTGTGCGGGACAGCCCATGCCAGAAGCGATGCAAGAGACCTCGCAACGCGCGCACTGGGCGGGTCTGCCCCGTCAGCGCAGCGAGTCGCTGCGCCCGCTGGTAGACGGAGTCGTCGGCCCACTCGGCGTGCAAGAAATTCTGGGCGCCTTCCTCGGACTGGGCGTTCCTCGGGTCGGCAACGAATAAGCTGGCGTCAGCGGCATGCGGCACCACGCGGCCCGCTGCCAGGGCCAGCTCCCGAGCGCCCGCGCGGCCGCTTCTCTCGGCGAAATCGACCACCTGCTGCTCGGCAACCTCCAACGAGCTGCAAATCGCCCCCACCAAGACACGATTACCCCGACCCCCCCACGGAGTGCAGACCGAACCGAAAAACAACAAACACCAACGCTCCAATGTAAACAACACCGAGGAACACGTCGGTGGGGATCCGTGTCTGGTTGGGGAGGGTCGGTTTGGAGCTCGGTCGGGCCTTCTCCTCGCGCCGCTCCGAGTCCGAAGAGGTCCGCAGAGCACGCTCGATGACTGCAAGGGCGTCTGCGCTCGGCCTGGCGGCCAACGCACCCGACGGGGCAGCCGCAGCAACGGCAGCGAGGGTGCGCCCATGGGCCTCCAGGGCGCGGCGCAGGGGAGCGGGCTGACCAACTCTGTCATCGGCGAGCTGAGCGCGGACGTGCATCGCGGCAACTGCCTCTGCGTCGGCGCGGGCCCTGGCCCGCTGCATCTCGCGCCGACCCATCGGAAAAGGCCTCCTCCCCTCGTTGACCTCAGCGTTGGCCTCATCCGCCTGCCGCTGGAGCCCGTCGATGTCGCCGTCGCCCAGCCTGCGGAACTTCGCCCACATCCCCGAGAAGCTGGGCTGTGCGTTGCCTTCCTGCCCGCACTCACGACTGAAGAAGACGTCGGCAGCCCGCAGCTTCCGCCTCCGCGGGGCGCTCGGGGCGCCAGCAGCGCGGGCTTGTTGCTGGCATGGCTGGTCGGCCGCAGGGCTGCTTGAGCTGGGTGTCCGAAGCTGCCGAAAGGCTCTCGCCAGCCTGCGGAACCCTTGGCCGATCCATTCGACGTTGATGCGGGAAAGGCTGGCAACCCACGTGTTGACCGATCGTGAGGCGATGATGCGTCGCAAGACGCCTTGGCTCCACTCCTGCTTCACTGTGTCCTCATGGAGCAAGCTAGCCACGTGCATCAAGTCATGCCGCGCGTCTGCGATGACCCCGTACCTGTGGTGCCTGCAGAACTGCAGCGACCAGGGGTCGAGCAAGCAATCCTTCTCGTCGAGAGCCGCCTGCATGGCATCGTCGCTGCGGATACCAGCAAACGTTTTATTCGGATACCATGTTTTCTCCAACTTGATAAGTGATGTCGTGCAGACGGCCTGAGATAGCAAGCGGAACGCAGTGCACTGCAACCTCAGAGTCCTGCATCGCAGCGGGATGCTCTCCCAATGAGCGGAGTCTGACATCAGAAAGAAAGCGTTGTCAACCAGACGAGTCTCCAACTCCACATCGTAAGCCTCCAGAACTTGATACATGAAGGTGCGGCCATGGTTGCCCTTCAACGCCTGGGATGCTGACGCTTTCTGTTTCAACTTCTTATGGTCACCACAAGAGTAGATCAGCCCACCGATGAAATCGCGGTGCAAGTTCATTGTTCTCAGCACGACGACGGCAGTGGATAGGACTTCATCTGGGCCAATAGTAGCTAAGTGCTTCGTGACGGTACCCCTATGGCTCTTCTGTTCGAGCTTTTTCAACTCTTCCTGCGCTGCGACGGTGAGATGCGGCACGCTCATGCCTGCTGGGTTCGAGTCCAGGACCGCTTGGAGCGCGCCCTTGCCGTCTAGGTCAACTCTCGGATGTGCGCCCTTCTTCTCGCTGGGATAATACACGGCAATCCACTTGCTCCATGCGTCGGCAAATATTCCCAAGCCCTGCAAAAGAATGAAATACTCCACTATCTCTTCGCACCCATTCCACTGGCGACAAGGAAACGAACGGGGTGCCCGCGGACATATGGCTGCGAGGAAATCGCGGGACAACAATTGCCGAACTCGTTCTTCAGATCTGCATCCGTTGGGGGAGTTCGCAACGTGAATGAGCCTGGAGCCGTCGATGCCGCCGTTGATCGTAGCCCATATGACGCTCCGCCTCCACACGTTCTTGCGGGTGCGGGGCGGCACCGCAAGGTCGAGGAGGTGCTCGAGACGTTTCACATGCACTGGCAAGCAGGCCCCCTCCGCCAGGTAAGTGAACCGACCAGGCGCAAGTATAAGTTTCTTAACCTCTCTCCGAAAAGTGTTGCTGTTGTAGGCCCTGCGCATCACAAGGACGAGATTGGTGTAGAACTCAATTTCTCTGGGCACTTTTTTCTTGAATGGCTCCTTCTTGCAATTTGACGCCCTATGGACGCAACACAGCTTATGTAGCAAGTGCATGTCGGGGTAGACACATGAGCGGTGACGCTCAGCTCTGATGAACGCCCTGTCTCCGTCTGTGGTCGCATTCCTCTGGTGGCGGGCGAACTTCTGAGCGATGCGGTCTGCGTCGGCCAGGCGGGTCTGGTGCAGCACGGCGTAATAACATTCTCCAGTTGTATTCGAAACCACTTGAACAGGGGTGCAGAGACTGAATGAGAAGCTGACGTATGAGGAAGGTTGGCCGCCGCTGCCCCGCTTCACAAACAACATGCCATAGTTCCATTCGGTGTTGACCAGTTTCGCCCTCTCGTCAGCATCGTCGGGCAAGTCGTTGTATATATTGCCTTCGTCGTTCGACCCCGTGGCGCCCCTCGCAGGCAACTGGGTCTCATCTGAGCGAACGGCCTCTGTGAAGACCAGGCCTACGGCGCCCCCAGCAATACAAGTATCGTACACATGCTCCATCAATCTCACGACGGAGTGGCGATCGTACAACACAGCAGCGGCAGCCGTTCTCTCTTCTACACTTTGAAACGCGTTCAATGATATGCCAAACATGTGTGCAGATGCAGAGGCTGACATCATAGTTGTTTTTTCTCTCAATACATACTCACCGATCTCCATGTGCGTCTGGTCCAACAACCCGTCTAAACTTATGTTGTTGGCGATTGCATCGCCCACCTCTAACACCAGGCGTCTGAACGACTCTGCATCTGAAACCACGAAAGGGTTAATATTGGCTGGAGCTGCGTCGCCGATGCTGTCCTCGGGTCCGCCGTCG